CTGTCGCTCAAAAATAAATAATCTAGTTTATCTAAAAATGTCTGTAAATGCCTCAACTACAGGCTCGTGCTTTTCTGTGATCAAATAGAAAAATAATAAACGACTTTGCAAAATTAAAATGCATCTTTTTTTTGAGATCTTACATTACAATATGACTGCAAATAATATATTTATCTTGGTTTTATTTTACTACGATCTAGACACGTTTTTTATCTTATTAAGTTGTACCATAATATATTAACTCGGGTGTATACTTTCCGTGTTAGTTACAACTATATGGCATTATTGCGAACACGTGACCGTTTGTTGAAATGAGATTGCAAAGGGGATTCGCTTGCCCAGTGGTCACGGACGTAGTATACCTATCGAATATTTGTCATGAAAATTTTACTCTATATATCGCGGAATCTCGTTTTTTGTTTAGGGTAACTATAATCAAAATTCAAAATAACAACTCCGCAGTTTATGAAACCCTTAGGCCCTTAAAACTTGTATTTACTGTAACTTGTACTTAAAACTTGTGTTTATATATAAAACATTATTAAACAAAACGCAAACATATTCATATGCTAAAAATTCTGTTGTTCTTATTTTCGATAGTAAATAATTAGTTATTGATCGTTTTTGCTTGCTGCATTGTAACGTTATTGACAATTATAATTTTTGCATTTAATGACGTATACAGTGACCTATTGTTGCTCGTTAATAGCTGTGTTACTAGTTCTTTAACGAACCCGTGAAGAAACTGTTTTTTAATCTATCTGGTAAGTCGTTGCTTGAAAGATATAATATTTTGGAAATATTCCAGTTGATCTATATATGTGTTATCTTTTAAACCATTGTACGTTATTTTCCCAAATAAATATCGACAATCCAGAAGAATAAATATACATATCTCAATCTTAAGACTTCTATAATCAATAGAATTATATTCTGAACATAAAAAACAATAGTTATCTATATTGATACGTTGGATAAAACAATATCCGTGATATTTTATTTTTAATTTATTTCAGTTCATTGAGTTGAGAATAAACTAAATTTTTAACAATACAACTATATTACTTACGTGAAATCATTAGAAATTTCAGTCATAATATTTAAATTAAACCAAAAATGTTTATAGTCAAAAATAGTTACATAATTTTCATGTTTTAAAATTATTCTCAGATTTATTAAAAATTACAGTATTATAGATACAATAAGATTTAATAAATAGTAGAATCACTCCCTAAGATTTTCAATGTTATTAATATTTTTAGTATTTAAAATAATAATTATTTTAACAATTATTGTTATCGTTTGTGTTATATTTTGAAAGATGATAAAATATAATTTTGTCATCACATATCAAGTTTCTCTTGAGTTGTCGCAATTTATCAAAAACAAGAATGTGTTTCTAGGGCTAATTATGTTAAACACGTATAATATAATTATTAAATTAAGTTACGAGTTCAAGTTGAAAAATTTCTTATTTTGTTCATTTAAAGCTCATTAAAAATAGGCTTTCAAAGTTTGGGCGGAATTTAATTTAATATGTAAAAGAAACCTAAATAATCTTTATAATTTTTATATCAACATTTTTTTTATTAGTTGTAAACTAAGTCTATTATAAAATATTTCTTTAGTGAAAGTCTAGCAGCAGTTTTAATAGTATTAATTTAGTTAACACTTTATTAACTGGCTTGAAGTTTAATTCAATTTTGACATATTGTTTTGTGGATAAATTTCTAACTGCCTACAAGCTAGCGTAAAGCAAAATAAACTTCTTAATAAATACTTGATTAAGTTGTTAACTATACTACACATGCCATGTATTACTTAGTTGAAATATTCTATGATTTATTTTTATTTGTATTTGAAATATTTTCATGTAACTAATTTAAAATTTTTGAAGAAATAAAATATGTTTTGTAAAATCGATTTAAATCACAGCTTTAAACTGCAAAACATTAGGATTACACAAAAAAAAAAATTATAATTAATGTTTGGCTTGTTAATTTGTTTAATTAAAATGATTAATGTTAAGGGAATTTAACTAGACGAATTCTGAATCAAAATCCAGTTAATATTTTTATAATTTTTTTTTTTAATTTATGTGACAATATAATTCTTTTAATGTTTCTCGTTATAATTTTTATTACGAATTCGCTTTACTTGACATTAAAATCAAATACAATAAATTAATATTAAATGTTAAATAGTTTTAATAAAAAATAAACTAATTTTACTTTAAAATTCTGTGAAAAAACAATTATTTATTTAAAAAAATAAAATACCAATTAAAAATAAGATGTCTTTGATTATTCTAAAAAAAAAAGCATTGTGGAAGTAATCGAAATTACGTACTGAGTTAAATGACAATTTATTCTCGAGATAATATTCATATATATATATATATTATCTTAATATTTCAGCTATTAAACAAATATTATTCTAACTTTTGTTAATAATACATATTACTGTGTCTATTTATATTTAAAATAATGTAACCCAAAATAATATTTTTCTTCAGTTTGTCAGTTAATTTGTTGATTATTTTTAAAATATTTCAATTTGGTTTAATACTTCTGCGTAAAGAAAAATTAGGTTGTTTTCAAAAAAACTAATAACAAATTAATATCGTAGCAAAGCTATTGTTAGACCAATCATTTTTAGTGTAATTTTAAAAAGAATAGTATAAATCTTTACCAGTATAAAACTATCTAGTTAAGAAAATAACGAAAACTCCTCCAAAACTTTCAGTTACTTATTTAAAATTTTTTTAATTTCTTTGGTATTTCATACAATTTTTATATTCCATACACCTAATGAATGCATTTAAATTAATTTGACTAATTATATATTTGTAATTGTTAATTATTGTCAGTCAAAATAATCTAAAAATTCTATAATTAATATATAGTATTGTTGAACGTTTTAGTATCTCAAATCATATTACAATAATATAAATGACATGTGATTAAAATCGTTTAAATGCTTTTAGAATAAGATATATTAACAACTATTTGTAACTTTGTTGAAACATTTTATCCTTTAAGCAAAATTAATTACATGACATTTTCATTGAAGTAAATATCAAAACTTAAAAATTATTAGATTCCTCGAATTTGTTGTTCTAGTTACATAACTCAACAAAAAGACTATAAGATCATAATTTATTATGGAAGGTTTGGTTGGTAGTTCAATAAAACTATTTTTTGATATTTTCTTGCATCTAATTTTATTAGAAAACAAATTAAAAATTTACTAATATTTATTTATTATTTACTATGTTTGTGTAAATTAAACTATTGAATAACTAAATAGAAAATTGTTATACTGTTTATGTAATGTTTCAAATAAGTAATACATTTTAAACCACTAGTACAAATGCAAAATATTACATCTGTAAAGTTTTTCACAAAGCTCATTGAAATATTAAAGTTTTATTTTTATCGTGAATATAGTTTGATTTAATAAAGAGCCTTTAATCGGTAAAAGCTGACAAATTTTTACATAAAAAAATAGGTAAACAAACATAATATTAATTCAATATTATGTTCAATATACTTCAATCGTTATTGACCTAATTTTTCTACTGAAAAGTCTACTCTAATTTTACATATTATGTAGTTGATTTTATGGAATTCATTTAAAGCTGTTATAAAATCACTTGTTAGTAACAATATGTATACATAAAATGTATAAATTACTTTTATTAGACGAGTTAACCAACTAGATTATGGAATATCTACTCTCATAATTTTTAAAAAAATTTTTGTGAGTATGTAGACCGTAAAATATAAAATAATGGACAATTTTATTCACATAATATATTAAGAAAAGTTTTCTCTGCTAGTCAAAAGTTTATAAAGTACATAAAATACCCTTTAATATTCGTCAATGTGTCATATTGTGCACTGTTGGTCTGTTTAGGATGAGTGTGTATATGTTCGAGTTAAATAAAAACTCGAATTCTTTTTATGTGCCAAATGCAAACGGAATCCTTTAGGGGTCGGGATCATTAAACGAGTAATATGCGTGCCAACTTGTTGAAAATTGTTGTGTGAGGTGAACGTTATTTACCTACCATAAAAAATCTTTAGTTGAAATCAAGTGATCGGTATTGGGTTGGCAACAAAATCAATCAAACCATGGGTTTACACAAGAAGAAATAGACAATTAATATAAAATCCAATAACGTGATGAATGAGAAGTAATACCTTTGAAAATGATTTTTTCGAGTTAAGAATTAACAATAATTTACTAATAAATTTCCGTGATCATAACTAAGAAATTCATCGATGATATGGGTAAAGTTTTTATAATTTTATTCACTCATTAGTTAATACGAAATCAAACTTATCGTGACCCCCTTTGGACATAGTTATAAATAAATATAAATTTTTTTTAATGAACTACAAATAAAAAACATAATACGAGATGTTCGTTTCACACAAATAATCATTAAGTCGTCTCTTATAAGCCTTGAAACACGCTTTACTTTGATCGGTATATTATGTATTTTCAAAAGTTCTCGAATAATCCAACACAACCCAACAGTTTTTTTTTAAATCTATCGATGACTTATTTAAAAATGAATCGATATCATGAAAGTCTTACAAAATGTGATACAATATGAAATTGTCAATTTTCTAAATTTTGTTGTTACTATAAATATCTATTTATCATGATGATCATTGTTGAACCATCGCACTATATGAGGTACTCCAGCGTTCTTGAACTACCGACGTGCCGGTCGACAAACACGCGGAAGGTCTTTGGACAAATCAATAGTGATGACGAGGGGTGCGCAGGGCACGTCCCCGCAGACGCAACGGCGAGCTATACCTACCCGCCGATAGTACTATGATAGGAGGATGTGTTCCACGAGCACGGCGGAATGCTTTGCCTGTTCGCTGTCTATCGCCGCGCCCCGTCACCACCACCACCGGGGCGCGCTTTGCTCGCGCGAAACCGGGAAAACCGCCACCGCTCCCGATAATATGCGCCGACCACGCCACCAGTGCCGGATCGTCAGCGGACGTGTGTGTGCGCGACCCGCCCGCCAACCAACATTGGATTATTACCAACCGATGACGAATTTTTAAACTTCGTAATAACTTCGCGAGACCTAACTATCATAAATAAAAAATATATATAATACAAAATTGATTTTTTTTTTTAGCAGTTTTCTTTATAGATGTTAATTTTTTTATTGTGTCAGTTTGCGTGTGTGAAAAAAATTAACTTTTAAATTATTAGAACTATTTGAAGTTACCCAAAATTATTTAATAATATAAAATACTAGTATAATTATAAAAATTACGACGATAATATTATTAATCATAGCAACAATGAATTCAAATATAATATTGACAATTACAAATAACTGCAAATTAAAAAAGTTAATTGAATTCTTGTACGTCGTTATAACAATAAGATGTCAAATTTAAATGGCATGTTTGTGTGAGTCTGCATCCGAAAAATTGACAGCGTCGTAGAGATAAGGCACATTATCAGAAAATTGAACTTCAAAACAGAATTATTGAATAAATAATACAAAATCAACGTTAAAGTGTTAAATTAGAAAATCAGCCAATCGAATTTTCGGCCAATACGAACTTTATAAAAACAAAACTATTTATGATAGTAATAATTTATTAATTTTAGTAATACATTTGAGTGGCATTCGCGAAATGAATGTGAATACCACATCGTACTCTGATATTATTGTTATTAAATTCTTTATTTTGACAAAAGCCTGACAACGCAAATTCTGACTGTGTTACGTGTGTTTTGTACGTTTTTTCAATAATATAACGATACCATCAACCACTCCTTCGGTACTCAAAAATACGCTGTACCGAAGTTGATGACATCGGTTACTAAGACAATGATACTTCGAATTAAAGGTAAGTTGAAAGAGAGTATTGCATTTTTGTGACGTTCTTTGTGCATTCAAAGCGAAATCGTTTTACACGTAAATGATACCCAAAAACGTTTAAGTCACGTAAATTATCGGTACCACATTTCCTTTTAAATTACACCTATCTGAAGTTCATTTTATCGGTGCGAAGTATAAATTCTTGTTAAAGTTAAATGGGCTGACTTACGGGATTTACTATTGGGCTATACATCTACTAGTTAATGTTACGTATGAAACAATTTACTAAGAAAAAAAAACTTCGGTGTCTGAAGAATTGAGATAGCTTATGATAGTAATTTATCATTATCGTTCCGCAAAATCCGTCCTAGTCCTCGATTATTATTTAGAAAGAATTATTTTGTAATAGTTGGAACGCGTGGATAACCCAAGATACTTTTAATTTAAAGTTACATATTGTTTAGTGAAGAGAAAAATAAACATTTTTAACAACCTTTATTTTATAGATTAAAAAGATTAGAATAAAAAATAACTCTTTTTGTTTTAACAGTTAACATAAATGCACTAAGAACGTCTCTATCAAATGAGTAATACATTAATTAATCCAATTTTTTTTTTATTTTTAGAACTGATATTTTATGATTGTTTTATGATCACATATCGAAAGATGAATGAGCCGTTAACAACAGCTCGTTATTATTTTGCTGTGTACCGTTTATAGCTAAATTGCTAATATGGAACCAGAACAAAATCGAAATAGTGGCGGTGGTCGACCAGCCGCCTCCGCCACTGGTAGCAGTGAAAAACAGGCTGTAGAAGAGGCACTTAACGAGTTCATTGAAAAAATGACACCTCGAGTAAATATACTCGAAAACGAAGTTATGTATGCTTGGAGAGCGCTGGATATGTTATCCGATGAGTATGTTAAAATGTGGGAACGAATTGAAAAATTAGAAATGATTGTTCAAGACCAACAGACTTTTATTAGTCAAATGATCGATATATGCTCAGAGCCTAGATCTCAGACTTATGCTGATTCTAATATCACAGATCGTCCAGCATTAAGTATGATTTGGGAGGAATCAGAGGGTAGTAGCAGTAATGGTACTAAACAACCGTCCGAAATAAACTGCGATAGTTACAAGGCATATAATGACCAGCTTTTAGAAGATGATCCTGATAAATTAGATTCTTCAGATTCAGCGAAAGAATTATTTGAAAATATCGAACAGATGGAGCGGAATATGCGACAATTATATGCTGAAGCACAATTAGATAGCTGGAACGACGAAACAGAAAGAGCAGCCGCTGCATTAGACTATTATCCCCTTGATAAACCAGTCGCAGCATCCCTAAGTAATATTCAAAGTAGTACGTTTCAATACACATCTCCATCTATTAGATCGCTTCCTACAATACCCAAATGTGACCAACCTACCGATTTCCAGTCTTCGTCACTTTTTATGGATGACGTACAATGTACATATAACAATGAAATTTATCAACCTCAATCACCATGTAGCAGTCCACCACCACCTGCACCTGAGGATCCAGTATTCCCAAAGTCACTTACGTCAGCTTTATCGCTTAGTTTACATCAATTTCATAATTCTAATAAAGATTTACATTCTCTACGTCAGTTTCATAATTCAACAAGAGATCTGAGTTCATTAAATCAATTTCATAACTCAACTAAGGATATAAATTCGTTACTACATAGTTCTATAAAAGATTTGAGTACTTCAATTCCATACAATAATACTTCAAGTGACTTAGATACACTACATCAATATAGATCCAGTGCTATTGTTACAACTAACAAGTCCGATTCCGGACTATCATCAATGAGTGGTGGTTTGATGTCCAGTTTAGAAAAATCACCATGTTCGCCTGGCAAACGAGCTTTTAATCAATCTTATCAGATTTCACTAGCAGGACCATCTAGTCTCACGGTTGTGACTTGTGTAAATACAACATTTGGTACTGATTATGCATATTATGATAAATCAACTGGTGTTTACTCCACTGCAGGTCATGCATATAGACCTTACCAGACGCCTCCAACTCAGTTATCTATGTCAAATGTACCTGATTTGTTAGACGTGATGTCACACAAAGACCCATTGCAAAAACCTATTGATCGGTCATATCCTGGAATAACAGATGCTTTAAGCTATTATCCAAGTAGTAGTAACAACTCTACGTATTACACTAGAGATAACAATAGATCTGAAAGTTCTCCATCCCGTTATAGGTACGTGAATACTCCAAATTATCAAATACGATGTGAAAATGATAGAACTGCTCGAGAAGAAAAAACAAAAAAAAATAAACGTAACATTATAAAATCAGCCATGAGCTCAGTTAGTAGTTCAGTTAGCAATTGGTTTCCTGATGTTCATTTGCCACAAAGGCACCGTTCTCACTCATTACCGGGTGGTTTAGAGCAAGAACAAGATGCAGAATCGATGCACAGTGAAGCTGACACTTTAAAACAACGAAGTTGGGTTGGATACAAAAACAATATTCGAAAAAAGAAGAAATCAATTGTATCTACTGTTTCTGGTTTAATACATAAAACAACAAAATCAAATCGGTTTCAAAGTTCCTATTCAATTTCTGATCCAGAATTTGCAGAAAATGAATGGTCTCAAGCTCCAATGAGATCATCACATCATAACCATACAATAATATTAGAACCCCCATCGTTGCCGGGACCAAGTATATTAGTAGTAGAAGAACCACAACAAGAACAAGTAAATGATATTCAATTGCCCGCTGAATTGTTTAATGGCCCAACAAAAGAGTTTGCCGTATCGAGAGCATTAAGTAAATATAGAGAACATTGTAAACTCACAAATGGTGTTTCAGAGAATGATTCATCGGCTCCAATAGAAATACGTAATAAATCAGTAGATGAATCAAACGTAAAACCTAACGAGGAAACTGTTCAACCACCAAGTAGTATAAGACATTTTAAAATGAATTCTCGTCAGGCTAGTCTCGAAGTACCGTGGGCAGGAAAAGGCTCTGCGGATACTGAAGATGATAGCCGAAGTAATCATTCTTGGAGAAGTACATCAAGGATTTCGTCGAGAAGACAAAGTACAGAGGAAAGTATAGATAGTGATGACGAATGGTATTGCTATGAATTAAAACAACTCGAAGAATTAGAAAAAAAGACTCACTTTGAACGTGTATTTGGGCCATCAATCTTACCTTCACAGTCATCACGACCTGAATCAGCAGTTCTAGGATCAAAAGCAGATTTTAAGGAAAAAATGTCAAAAGCTATCGAAGACATTAGAAATCAATCAGTGGATGAAACTTCAAATGAAGATGCTTTTGAATCTTTTGAACAAGATGAACTACCTCATGAAAAAATTGAAGAGGTAAAACAACAAGAGACTGGACCTATAAAATTTAAAAAAATGAAAGTACCCGATAATGTAGCAGGAAAAAAAGACGTATTAAATGAATATCAAAATCTAGAACCGGAAACAGCCGACGATCATATGGCTGTTGAGGAAGACGAAAGCCCTGGTACGCCATCCTTGCCCAGATTTAAATTTGATAAGAATGATTTGGTAGACAAAGAAGACGGTGGTAGTAAATGGAAAATTGTTAAAGCATTCAAAGAAAAGAAACCTGAAGAAATTAATCAGGATATTGGCCCCCCACCTACTCCTTTAATTGAGGTAAATCTTAAATTTTATAAACTATTAATTAGTAATTTGTTTTTTTATTAATTATACCTGTTATTTTAAAAATTATACATTTTTCTTTTACTTATATTAAACAAGTTATTTTTTGAAATTATTAATTAGTTTTAATGAATTCATTCTACATATGTAATATAAAATAAAAGAATATTTGAAATATTTGAAATAACGTTAAATATGTTATTTTTACACATTTTATATCTTTGTAAGGAAATAATTATTATAACACTTTACCAATTATTCAAACAATACAGATGTAATATCTGTAAAATTATAAACAATTAAATTATTTAAAATTAGTTTACATAGATCTTTTACTTTTAACTTTTCAATGCTGTGTTGAATAAAAAATACAATATTCCGATATTGTAAGGCATCTGTGTGTCATATTAACTGGATTAGTTTGACTCAATCAGATTAGCAATCAGTTGTAAATAAAGACGTAATAAAGAAGTTTTAAGCACGCATCAAAAAAATGTTAAATAATATACTACCGTAGTATAATAATGTACTCTTAATGTGTAAAACTATTACAATTGTTTTATATTTCAAGATTTTTAACACGGCGCAATGTTTATGCAATAATAGTTTCATGTGTATTTTTATGTAATCAACTAAATTCACTCGACTTGAATTTATAATTTTATTTTAGCACGTTCTATAGCTTAATTTATAAAAGAAAATTAATGTATAACTAATTAGGCATACTGTATAATAGTAAAACCTTTTAAATCCATCATACCTAGTGAGATAAAAAATAATACAGCATGCATGCAACTTTTGGTCATTGTTTAAATAGTAAATTGTTGATGGTAAATTCTAAATGCCTAAATTATATATATCATTAAAAATATAATTACTACAAGAGTTTTTAAATGAATATTTGTATATATTCTTATACAATATCATAATTTATGTAACTTAGGACACATAATCGAAAAATAGTATCTCTTTTGGATCTCTTAGCTTACATCCTAAAAGTATGCGATTGTTAGGCTGGAGTATAAAAAAAACATAATTTTTTAAAATGTAATAATACAAAATATGAGTTTAATGTATTTCACAAATTTGGCACGTACACGTTTTACGAACTAACATAGTTAGACAGATTTCTAATAAATATTCACTTCTAAAGATGAAAGTGTCATTATTAACATGTTACACTAAACCAAAATGTAAACAGGCAGAATGATTGATTGTTTATAATTGGTATGTTAAATATGCTAAATAATATTTCTGTTGCTTAATCTTAATTATTTTGTTTACATACCTCGTACTATGTTTGAAATAAAAAAAAAGTAGTCATTAAAGGTTTTATTATTTTTATTGTGCTTTAAAATCCCTGAAAATATTAAAAACACTAATTAGTGCATAATTCATTTATTTTGTTGCAATAACTAAAAAAAGGGTACTTTTTGAAGCATTATGATAAACTTTATATAGTATCATGTATGTTTGATTATTGAGCACAATAAATATGTATTTAATGTACCACTAACACTCTTTAAAAACATGTCCGTAATTTCACATACATGTATTGAAAGTTTCTAACATACTATATATAAGAGAAATTTGGATAAGGCGCGATAAAAATTTTATATTTGATATTTTAGCCAAAATTACCCTAATTATACGTAAAATAACGTGCTTATTGAAAATATCGTACTGATGTCTTGGAATTCTCGGATTATTTCTTATAGTGTACATAATATAAACATAACATAATATAACTGATTTATTATTAATAGAGGGACGGTGTGGCCCAGTCGGTAACACAGCAGTGTTTGACGCGCAACTTTAGTAATCACAAGTTATCACTAGTATTATTCTCATTTTATGTTTTCTTCGAGTAATTTTCAACTTTCTAAAAAAAGAACTATTTAATGCATATTTGCATGTATGAGTTCAGCTTAAATTTTATCTAATATTATTCTTTAACAATAGCAGTTAATAAAAGCTGTCTGTTTTAAACGCAATCACTTTTTCTACAATTCAAAACAATAATTACAGCAAAAGTTATACGATTTAAAAAAAATGACAACACCATCGATTTCTCGGTACTCAAATAGCTTATAAAATATTAATAGCATATGAGCATTTGACACACTGTCATGAAGAAAACTTTTAAATATACCTTCAATGATAGTATTTCACTGTAATTTTGTTATTCAAAAAGTTTTTCATCATCATATTAGTTTTAAATATTCTTTAATATAATTTTATTTAAAATGTCTGCAAGAATCCATAGTGGTAATGCCATTTGTTGGTATATACTAAATTCAATCTTTATAATATACTGACTTGTTAAAATAATTGTAACAATAGTTNATATTCTTTAATATAATTTTATTTAAAATGTCTGCAAGAATCCATAGTGGTAATGCCATTTGTTGGTATATACTAAATTCAATATACTATACTAATTTTATAATTAATCTATTTTGGTATATACTAATTTTCACAATAGATTCATTTATTGTCATTCATAATTTTCATAGATTCACTTAAAGAGTAATACTTTTGTAAAAAAAAAATTTTGGCTAAATGCCGTTGATATCAAAGAATGTAATAACAAAAAAAAATGTTGCTCCGTCTTAAACAGGTTATGTAAAATGTTAACAAATACAACAATAGTTAAAGACGTAATAGTATTTACAGAACTGTATGTTTAAGGATAATATAATTGTAATTTAACTTCGAGCATATTTAAAATTTTGAGGATTAAGGTCCCATGTTCATAAAATTTTTAATTTATTGAAAAACTAGGTTTAAGGAAAATGTTATTTTCTCCTAACAAATGTCGTTTAAATTTTGCTACTCTTAGTAATGCTTACTTTTTGCTGACCTTAAATATGTTTTTTATTTAATGAAAACAATAATAAAACGGAGAACATAAATTAAATCTATATTATTATTAATATAGTTGATAAATTTTTTAATTTCGCTATGCTTTTATGTTTTTAAGAACATTTTCTTAATGTGATAAACTATTTATTACATTATGTAATTTTTATAACTGCCTCTGGCGTATTAAAAATATTTCATCACTATTTTTCGTATAGTTGAGGCAGTAAATTTAACGACTATTCTATAAAAATAACATGTAAAATCTACCTACTAAAGAAAAGTAAGATAATATTATTCTTTAATATAACATGTTTAAAAAACTATAAATAATTTAACACGATAGATAATAAATGCATAGTTTTAATGTTACTTAAAAATTATAATTTTCAATAAAATTGTCGCGCGTATTATATTTTTGCTATAGTTAATTGGTAATCCACAAGCTTAAAAGAACAAACTTAACTAATCAATACAGCATTATAGTCAATAAGTTGATAAACTTTAAAAAGAAATATTTTCACAAAAGAAACATTAAGTAACGAATGAATTATAATACTCAAGGACCATATACTTAAAACAATTATTTATTTGAGTTTCTTACTCTTAAGCATTAATTAAATAGTTAAATAAGTTCAACAATTAATAAGAACTGTTCACCATTTTTTATTATTTTAGTAAGACTTGTGTTGCAAGTAAAAGTTACGTGCTTCACCAATAAACCCTAATGTTATGGTTCATTAATCGACAACAACAAAGACTGTAATAAAAATCAAAGACCTGCTTAACTAACTACACTGGCACAAAAATAATTATTATAGCTTTAATTTTACATCGATTTATGTTCCGAAATGTCTGTTTTTAATTTACCAACCTATTCGATTTTGACTACATTACACATAATGAGTTTAATATGTCCAAATATAACCAAAAATGAAATTAATTAACAGTTAAAGAAGAATGGAATTTTTCACAATAAAACTGAGAGAAATAGGATGATGCCTTATTTGGAAATAATTTTGAAAAAGATAATTCTAGTTTTTACAATTCGTATATTTCTTATAGTTTTATTATGTCAACACTAACTCCAATTTCTGTAAAATTCCTGGAAATTAATATTCTATGAAAGTATCAGGAATTTATTATTATAACTTTTTTTTTTAGAAAACGACTTTAAATTACATAAGCTAAAAATTAGGTATTGATAGTTACTAATTATACATATATTAACAATGGGGAAAGGATCGCAAATAATCCTGTACCACAAAAAGTAAAATAATCCATACATCACAGTTTTTTATGGATTTTTTTTTAACAAAAAAGCGACAAATATTTATTTAGCTTCCATGCATGGATTTACATAACTTAACATGTACTTAAAGCAAGTATGCTTTACAGGATATTCCCTGTTAATAATTTTGTATTTTGCCAACTTCATGCGTTCAGATTTGATTATAATTTCTACCCTAGTTAGCGTTGAGAATTATTTATTCATGGTTAGAGCCATTGTACATTTATTATTCATCTCAGATAGATTTAACACTAACCTTAGTATTATTCGTTAATTATATAAATGAAAATATAATAAAACAATTTCATACATTTTTTTATCTTTAAAATGTAAGAATAATTAAATTAAACTTTATTTTAATAAAGTATAAGCTGTGCAATAAAAAATACTTTAAAAAAATATGACTTAATTTCTAATGATAGGATTTTTAAATTTTTATTTTACCGAAATGAATAAGTTCTGCCGTAATATTGTTCTTTATTTTTCTAAAAAGCAACCAATAACTTTGACTTCTAAATTTGTTTCTACTAATTACCCATAAGTCATTATCAACGACTTGTTGGAATAGCACTTATAAGCTTAGCGTGTGCATCTAAAGGATACGTACGTATGTTTCGGTACAATTTATTATAATGACCCGCCAACAATTCGACGGTATTTACACGATCGATAGCAACAATAAGGTTAATGTTGCCGCGACTGCGGTAGTAGAACGGTGAGACGACTACTTGGAGCTTTTGTTTTCGCCCAACACCCTCTCACTCACTCGTGTGAAATAATTTATTGCATATAAACATAAGTACATACCTAGTAGGTAATAATAATTTCTTTCAATTAACATAAACGATCTTGTACACATGCTTCTTATTTTTTAACCTACAAGATTTACCTCTATCCTATTACCTCGTTACAAACATTCTGTGTTTATTCGCTACACTGTTTTATACATTTTTAACCATTTTTGATACATAAACCACTAACGAGTTCTGTCTAACCGTAGTTTGTATGTTTTTAATCAAACTCATTCACTAGCATTCATAAGTCATAAATGTTGCCCATATTCATCATAATGATAAAAAAATCTGCTTTATTGCGAAAATAACATTTATATTGAAATTTTTATAATAGTTTATGTTTCAAACATTTTTTAAAATTCTTTATCATATCTTTTAATAGTAATTCGACAATTTTTTATTGATTTTTTATTCATATTATATTCATCATCAGAATACTTATAAATTTACTTAAAAAATATATATAGTCAAAAAAGTGTAATGTAATTAAACTATGTATTGTATTTTAATTATATAGGTAATAGTTTTTATAGTATAACTTTACAATTTTTGTTACGGATCGTACACTTGTAAATTTAAACTGTAATTGAAAGTAATTAAGCAATGCGATGTTTTATTTAAGATTGATTTCGCTTTATTTGTGTAAAACTTGGGGTCTATCCAAAAATTATTTTTTTTAGTTTGGCACAATAGCAGTTTTAAAAAACTGCATTTTCTTTAAAAATCGTTTTTCTAGTGTTATAATGATGATACATTTTATTATGTGCTGCCAAGTATACCCTCCTTAAACATGTTTATCGGATAAAATTAAGTTACATCAATTTTTAATTCTTATTTCTGTATTAATCCACTACAACCTCATTAAATATTGGACAATCATTCATTATTCATTAAACATTATTCAGTAGTATGTTTAAAAGAGACAGAAAGGGTTATCTTATAAATGTACACGTAAATAAACTGTACTAATTAAATAAACCCCAATTAAAAAATATAACAAAGCATTATTCTGTGACAAATTAATTATTGTTTGTCATTTTTTTAAAGTTATCATTGAAATACCTTTTGTTTGTAAAGTTTTAATTTTTATGAAAATTCTAGCTACGGAGCGCGTAGAGGTAGCAAAACATAGAACCATTCAATTTAAGTAATTAAAAAGTACAAGTAATAATTTTTCTATATAATTTCCTTTTATTGTCTTTTGCACTGCTAAGGCACTGATTTGACAGTAAATCAATTATTTAGTTTTGATTGAACATAAATAAAGATGACATTTTGATAAATGACATTACAAGATCGATTGGCTGGTATAAACAAAATTTGATTCTCAATACATTTTATAATTACATTATTTAAGGTGAATTTCCATTCACTGTAGTTGTTGTTATAAAAACTATATTGCCTAGTAACACTGTTTCCTGTTATCTTTTACTGGGCCTCTATCTTATCGTATTAAATTTCTCCATCATTTAATTCAAATTACAATTTACCAATACATTGAGTTATAATATGGAATATATATATATATATATCAATCATTTGGCTATAAATTTTATTTCTAAGGGAAAATATATAAAAAAAAATACTGAATTACATAATTTAAATACACTTTTTAAATGTAGAAAATTTATGCTAAATTTTTGGTGCTATTTATTGGGAAGTCATTTTATTTTTGTTTGAGTTTAAATAGAATTATGAAATCATATGAGTTGTTGGTTTTATGTAAACTACAGTTTCATATTGTATATAATAGTAATGAGTAAATAAGATAGCTCTCCATTTTTATAGTAATTTTATTTCAAATAGGTTTTCCTGCTGTCAGTTGGCAATATACATTTTTTTTATAGTACGTTAAAAGTTTTGTTAAGTCCAGGTAAAAGCTTTCTAATAAATTACCATTGTTTGACTTTCATATAATAAAAAAATTCAAACGTCAAATGTCAATAAATTCCTCATGTATTATTTGCGTCTTTGTTATGTTAGTGTATGATATATAGTATCTTTTTAATAAATAAGATGTATTTTTTAATGGTAATTTCTTATTTGATATCCAATAGATAATAGAAATTTTAATCACTTTTTTTAAATAAAAAACTTTATTGTATAATTCATGGAATGAATACAAAATTTAAACATTTTTTAAGTATGCTAAATTACATTTTTTTAAAATAAATTAACAGAAAGTGTTCAATTATAAATCTATAAGGACTCTAAAAAAATATGCAAATATATATTCATATGTATAAAAATACAAGCATGTATCCAACAAAAGAAAACTAAAAAACAAAATGAGTTTTTGTACTGCTGAAATTTATCTCACCATCTCAATTTTTATGTAACAGAAAAATGTTATTTATTTTAACTGTTTTTTTAACAACAGGGAGATTTTTAAACCTTCGAGTTATTTTTTATTATTCTCATTTTTTCGTAATCGTTTGCTACCAGATAAGAATACTAAAGAAATTGCGATAATTACTATTCATTCTTGCATTGTCTAATCAAAATGTCTACTAAAAAACTTTTAATTAAATATCTCTGTCTAAGTCTGGAAATAGAAAAGCAATTTTTTTAAATTATTTTCTCACAAATTTTTAATAGAATTTTTTATATCAACTAATTTTATCAACATTATCAATATTTTCTGTTTTCTTAATTATCGGTATATTAGTTAACTTGATTATTCGTAATTTAAAATTTTATTTAAGAGGAACTTTTGTATAAGTATGTTATATTTTTATGTTTAATTGTTTAATTTATTAATATTTTTAATTGTAATAGTAAATTTAAAAAAATCTTAAGTCTCAAAAAGCAACTTGTAATTAATCACAAATTTCGATAAATACTAGGCATTTTATAGTTTTCACTGGTAGTAATATAATCATTTTTATTTTTTTAGTATTAAATAGGTGTATTTGGAGAATTTTCGGTTGTATTTAATATTTATTATTATCATGTTGATTGAATAAGCTTACATTTATAATTTATACGTTTTGCGAGTAGCTCACAGTAGAGTATATTTCTGGAGACCTCTAAACCTTACTGTTGATATACGTATGAACTACAACTGTGCTGGCGATATGGTTCACCCTGCCATGAAAATCGATACTGACAAGCATAAAAAATAAAATAATGGTCACTAGCCGAAGGTTTTTTGTCACAGGACAAGGGTCTGTATATATATACATATGTATAAATAATATTGGCTGCAACAGTTTGGGTTTTTTAAGAATAACTTAGAATTCTATTGCAAACTAAAAAAAGTACCCAGCGTTTAATAAAGATTTTCTGTCAAATACAATTTGACTATAAATATCAGTGCAAGTTGTTGTTACATTGAACACATCAGGGCCAATTATCCAATATATCTTTCCGCTGTATAGCTCAGACTCATGAAAATGTTTTTCTTTGTCAGAAAAATTCATATAATTTCAATTATTAAATAGTTAAAAAATAAAAAAACCATTTTCATAGAACAATGGTAATGAAATTTTTTTTTGTTTTTAGAATGGAAGAGGAAGTGGTGAAAATATCAATAGAGCTAATGGGTAAGTAAAATATAAAAAAAAAAGACAGTTGGTACTTTGATTTAATTTAATGACCACTACTTCTAGCGTTGAAGATAAAAATCATTAAATATTTGAAATTTCTTTTCTTAAATAGAGTTTTTAACTATTGCGAGAAGAGTAATAGCTAATACTTTTCATTTTATTGACATACTTGATATAAATGAATTTTTTTTACTTTTTCCAATATTTTTGTACGCTATTAAGTGTTGAAAATATTTTTTTATGTATTAGACCGAAATACCTATTTTTTATGTTTCCACAGCTGTCTACTGTTCGTAAAGATTCTAAGAGCTTTACATAATGTAGGTCCTTATATCTGCATAGTTAAAAAGGAAAACATAATAATAGTTCTAAGTGTGTGTGTAATTCGTAAGTGCACTTTACACAGTCTAAGAGAAAGTGACTTTTGTGTGACTATACACTTTAAATTACTGCTACAGACTCAAAATTTCATTCGATTTTTTCTAAAGTTAAATTAAATCATCATTATATTGAAATCATAAAGATATATATCATTTTTTTTTTATTTAAAACATAATATCATTGTCATACCTTTAAATTTTAAGTCAAACACTAGATATAAAAATGAGTCCAAAAAATGTTTATTTTGAAGTAACAACAAAAATATATAAAACGAGCATCAAAACATAATCCGGGAACTCACTACTATGGGTTTCATCAAACTCCTTTATAAGTGGTCTGCTTTAAAATTATATTTATTTATTATTTATATAAACAAACTATTAGTCCTATAACATATAAACACATGCATTTATATAGTTAAGATTATAAATATTATTTAAAATAAGAAATGATAAAAGAAGTTAAAAGAAGTTAAAAGTATAACAATTACATACAATCATTAGGTTATTAGGTGAACTATTTAATATATAACTAGCTTTATAAAAGGTAGGATAAAATAAATTGTGAAATAAGGAGACCAGTGACAATAGGCGAGTACGTGATTGGAGAGGTGGAAAGTTTTAAGTATTTAGGATCAGTTGTGCAAAAGAGTGGTGGTATTGACGAGGATGTAAGGCACAAGATTAAGTGCGGGTGATTGAAGTGAAGAAAAGCGTCTGGTGTCTTATGCGATAAAAGAATTCCTAAAAGGCTGAAAGGTAAATTCTACAAGACTATAGTGAGACCATCTATGATGTATGGTTCAGAGTGTTGGGCGATTTATAAGAAAGTAGAGCAGAGAATGAGTGTAGCAGAGATGAGAATGCTTAGATGGATGAGTGGAGTGACTATAGAAGATAGGATAAGAAATGAGCATAAAAGAGGGAGTATAAGTGTAGCGTCAATCGTGGATAAGATGAGAGAAAATAGACTTCGATGGTTTGGTCATGTTATGAGAAGAGAAGATTGAAAGCCGTAAGAACAGTTGTAGAAATGAATGTTGAAGGAAGAAGAGGTAGAGGAAGACTAAAAAAGAGATGGAGAGATGTTATTGAATGCGATGTGAGGACAGTTGATGTGAGCATAGAGAATGTGGGAGATCGTGTCAAGTGGAAGTTTAGGATAAGGGTGGCCGACCCCAAGTAGTTGGGATTAAGGTGAGGAAGAAGAAGAAATACTTGGTAGTACTTAGACAATCTAAAATGTTTATCAAGACCCCCGGTCTACTGCTGGGTGATCTTAATAGTATGACTAGACATCAAATAAGCACTTTGACTGGTATTTACGCAATGGGGGTCTCAGAATTACCATTGTGCAGGAAGTGTGGAGTAGATGAGGAAGACTCATTTTACATAATGTGCGAATGTGAAGCCTTGTCCACACTAAGATCAAACCATTTGAGTAAACCTTTTCTTGAAAAAGAATATATCAACAACCTAAGACCCAGAGAAATACTTAATTTTGCTAGAAAGACAGAACTCTTTGGTCATCCAGAGGGGGCGTCTTGATAGTCTACACTTATACAACGATAGGTATAATGTTTATAATATTACTTCGGTGATAACCTTTAGGTATATAAACCGAATCAAGACAATTTGGTATGAGGTGTGCACAATGAACCAACAGGTCTGAGTGCATAGGCATTGTGTCCACCTCACTTATAACTAAAACTAAAAAAAAAGTGTACATAAATACTCATTTTTCATTTACAATAAATTTAAACAATATTACCTAATAATATGTGATTCTAGGCATCCTGGAGACAATCCGTTCTATAGTAATATTGACAGCATGCCTGACATTCGACCAAGACGGAAATCAATACCTCTTGTTTCTGAATTGGTAAGCAAAAATAAGTCATTTATTATTTATACACTTACTCTAAATATGTTGTAAATTAAATATGTTAATTGAAAACGATTCCCAAATTTTTATTAAATCATGTTATATACTTTAACTAATTAAAAACAAGTCTGTTGTTATAAAAAATTGTGCCCTATTATTTGTTGGGAGTGTATTAAGTTGAGTAAATTTTCGCTTTTAAATGTGTACCCTATTATAATTTTCTTCGTGTGAATTGGTTTTCCGCGTACTGACATTTTATGTTGTTTTATGAATGTTTTTTTTTTTTGCTATTTCATGTGTTCTCTTATCGCGTGTCCCCGTATTTATTTATTGATATTCACCTATATTATTTTGTTTTATTAATAATTACTTTTGATTTCTTACAATAAAAATTAAAAAAAAATTGATTTATTAAAATAAATTAACATACAAATACTAATGTTAGGTGTAGGATTCTTAATAATTTTTATTTATGTACCTAAACTAATTAATTTGTATTATCTTGTCTGTTGTTTGTGATCTTCACGCATCGGTCCAGGTTCTCAAGGTATAGCGTTCTTTTAATTTCTTATTTTATTAATTTATTTAGAGAACAAATAGAGCACGCTATTATATACAAATATATATCTGGTGAAATAGATTTTGTCATAATTTTTTAACATTTGCTCACACATTCACACACAAATACACACTGCTTTTAGCACTAACTCGTTTTATTTGTAATACTTTTACTACTAGTTTCGATAACATAGAAATTTCGTCGATACCAACTATTTTATCTTAGAGATAGTGAGAATTTTGGTAAAATAGATTTTACTATATTTATGTATTATACACTTTTGCTTAGTATTTCTGTTAGCTTTGTTTGTGTTCTATTTCTGCAAATTAATAACAATGCCTTCAAGTTGTTATAGAGGTGCAATTTATTTATTTATTTATTCAAATAAAAAACTATCGTTTTTGTTGTATCTTTTACTTATTAAATTTTTTTTAATTTTTCCTTAAATAAACAACCAATTTCTCATATCAACGTATATAAAGTTGCATGCATTTAACGTTGATTTTTAAGCTCATAAAAAATCAGATTTAAATAGTTTCATTTACTTATTACATATTAGTGTTTTATAAAGCCAAGTATTATTAGTCATTTAAATAAAATAAATAATTGTTGTGTAATAATAATAACTTTACTATAAGACATTTTAAGTTTAACAATCTAAGTTCATTTTTCTATCAAATATTTATTTTTCGGAGTTTAGTATTATGATTTTTAGATATCAACTTATTTTACTTGTATATATTAAGTTTTAATTTTGAAATAATAAATTATAATTAGTTCAATAGATTTTAGGTGGCTGAATTAATTAAAAAATAGTTTATTAGAAACGCTACTAGTTAAATTTTACTAGTAATTTTTTTGGTGTACCTATGCTTGGTTAGGATGTTCAATATATTTTATTTATTTAAAAATACTGATACACAGTTTAATTGTATACATTTTATGGCATCTCGTTCTATTTAAATACGTTTTTTAAAGACTAAATGGAATTTGATATTATCTAAAGCGCTTAAGTGCACTTACATTAATTACAATATATAAAATGTATAGAAACATTAGAAAGAACAAAAATAATATTCAAAACTCAAATATATAAACATTTTATTCATTATTGCATAGAGCAAACTTTTCAGCTTTCTTTATATTTATGTGTGGAATAAAGGTGACTTTTAATATAAAACATTTTGGAAGTGAGAAGATTAAATTATAAATCGTTCTATTATTTTAAATATTCATCTACATAATTTTTATCTTTTTGTAAAATATTATCTAAACTATTGTAAAATATTTAAGAACTCCCAATTAGTCGGTTTCTTCCTTGTAATAATGATATCATTATTCCATACACGTTGAATACTAGTGAATTATATTTTTTTAGTGTATAGGGTATTATTTAACATCAATTTAATGATCCTTACACATTCACGCATAGTTGCTTAATATGATTAACGCTTATGGATCAAACATTAGCTTAATAATTAGCTTCAATCAATTATTATTATTATTAATTTCATATTGGAATTGTCTGAATATTTTAGACAATGGCTGCTACAAAAAGAAATGCAGGTCTTGCATCAGGAGTTCCACGACCTACCCTCAACGATGAAGAGTTGGTTAGTATTAAACAAAGAACTTATGTGTTTTATTAATAAAAATGAATCCTGTTTTTATATAGTGATGTGTAATTATAAAAAAATAAAGCTATTTAGATTTAAAAAAAAATTTCACTCGTAACATGTAAAAATTTTAAAAAATTATTTAGTAAAATAATATTAATGGTTTATAATAAATTGTTTATTATGCATATTATTTCAATAATAAAATTTCACTAAGTTAATCATAAAAAGTTAAACAACCACTCTTTGTTATAACCAAATTAATTATATGAGTTGTCTTTAAATAGGTTCGAAAACTTTATTTGTGTTTCTCTAATATATTAGACAAAATACTAATAAATTTGAAAAAAAAAAAAAAAGAAATGAAAAAAGAACACTCTTCACTAAATACGAAATATGTTTTATAATTTTCTCTAAAATTTATCTTGTAAACATTGTAGAAAATGCATGTGTACAAAAAAGCTTTACAAGCATTGATATATCCAATTTCATCGACTACACCACACAATTTTGTTTCGTGGACAGCAACTTCTCCAACATATTGTTACGAGTGTGAAGGGTTATTATGGGGTATTGCTAGACAAGGTGTGCGATGTACTGAATGTGGCGTCAAGTGTCATGAAAAATGTAAAGAACTCTTAAATGCTGACTGTTTACAAAGTAAGTTTTTCTTCAAGATAATGGTTAAAAGTTCAATCATTTTTTTAATGTTTCAAGTTTATGATTAAATTACATTTAACTATTATAATACTAAAAAATCAACAAACAAACAAAGCATTACCTGAATTACTTATAAATTTAAAAATAATAAAAGTCTGAAGTTAACTTTTATAAATCAGATTATCAAAGAAGTTTTCTGTTCAAAACATAAATAGAAAGATATTTTCAATATTTATAAAATATTTAATTTTAATAATTTATATAAAAAATGATGAAAAAAAAATAAATATAAAATGTTATACTAATTTAATAAGAAGCAAATTATCAATTATACTAATATTTTTCAATAAAATTAACAGGAGCGGCTGAAAAAAGTTCTAAACATGGTGCAGAAGACAAAGCAATATCAATTATTCAAGCTATGAAAGACAGAATGTTACAGCGAGAGCGTGACCACCCTGAAATATTCGAGCTTATAAGGTAAGTTTTAAATTTTAATATCAGATAGTAATTTTTAAATAATTTCAGTAAAAATAATAAACACATAAAATTTGAATGATATTGTAATTTAAAACCATTTTATATTAAAAAGTGGTAGAATTCTTTAAAAAGTTTTTTAACGAAATGTGTCACACACACTATTTAAACTTTCTGACGTAAATCTCAACAAGTGGCAGATTATGTCTTAGTTGAATGGCATTCAAAAAATAGTAAAACCATGATTTGATAAAAAAATTGTGTATTTTAAGTACTTGTAAAAGTTTTACTGTATACCTTAAAAAACATCATACTTGCAAAAAATTCACAGTATTCAGTTACATTGTATAAGTTATTTGTGGTAAGTGGAGCTCTTAAAAAATATTAAGAGATCACATTTTAGTACAAGTGTTATAAAAAAGATTAATTGAATCAAAAAACAATTACTCGCTACCGAAAAATACTTAAAATCATAGAAGCAATATACATTTTTATTTTTAAACTATTGGATCAGTTGTAAATCAATTAATCAAGAACTCTAGAAGTCAACGTATGCAAGAAACAATTGTTAAGATTAACATTTTTAGAAGAAAATATGAATCCTAAAAATTGATTATTTTGTTAATTTTTTAAATAATATATAGATCTGTGTTCGGGGTAGAAGAGAAAAGTCATCAGGGTCATATTAAAGCGGTAAAACAATCGGTTTTGGATGGCACTTGCAAGTGGTCAGCAAAAATTGCCATCACAGGTTTGTTTTAATTGAAAATGTTTCATCGTTTTGACAAATTGACTTCGAAGAGCTTTGTGTGATTAATTTTTGTGCTTGGTTTTGGACTATATGTTACAATGTGTTGATTTTCCCTAAATGAATTTTCTAGCATGAAATTTTTGATGAAAATTCTTTCAGTGGACACCTATTTCATTTGTATTACTAATAATATAATCAACCCTTTATAAAAAATAACCTTACAGAATGTTCTTTTTTTATTTTTTAACCAAAATATCTTTATACTCTTTTTGTGTGTTAATTTTTTGTTTTTATTTTTAATAATATTTTGAATTGAGCAAAATTAATATATTTGATATGTTTATATAATTTATTAAAATATTAACTAATCTTATTAAATATTTATAATTAAATTATTCTTCGTTTTATTTATATTGGCTCTTTATTATTTAATTGTAAGCTTATTGAGTGTGCTTTTTATTTTACAATTATATTATTTTATTCGTTCACAGTATTATAAACATAATACGAAAGAATTTTCATTTATTGTTGTTTACATTTGAACATTCTCATTTCCGTTCAAATTGTATGTAAATATTTGTTTTGTTGTTTGTGTATTTAAAGAACAATGTTTTCCGTCGATCCTGATATGCATATCGATTCCTTGGAGCAGGCGGAAGTTATCGTTCTAGAAGGCACTTCTAAATGGTCGTGCAAAATTGAAATAACAGGTCAGCAGCAGATAGGAATATTAGGATATCTCTCATTCACAAAATAATTTAAATAATAACAACATTAAACGTTAAATTTCTTAAATTCAATATTTTTAGTTAACACTTTGCTACTCATACAAAAATTAACTAGATTATTAGACCATTTAATTTTATTACAATGAATACGCTTCATTGCATGTTGGCATTTGTATTTTACAATTATTAGTTAGCATGTAATGTGTTTTATGTGTGTGAATAACTGCTTAAAAGAAAACTTGCGTTTAGAATACAAACTTAAATGTTGAGTTTCTAATATCTAAAAACTTTTTTAGTGAAATGTGCTCAAGGTCTTATTGCAAAGGATAAAAGTGGTACGTCGGATCCTTATGTAACCGTTCAAGTTGGAAAAGTAAAAAAGAGAACTAGAACTATGCCTCAGGAGCTTAATCCAGTTTGGAACGAGAAATTCTACTTGTAAATATTTTGAATACTTTAAAAAAATAAAATATTTATTTAAATTTATACATTTTTTAAATTTTTTATCAATAAAGCGAGTGCCACAATTCTTCGGATCGAATTAAAGTCAGGGTATGGGATGAAGATAATGACTTAAAATCAAGACTTAGACAAAAATTGACAAGAGAATCCGATGATTTTTTAGGACAAACTATTATAGAAGTAAATTATTTATTTGATTCACTGTTTTCACATATTTAAAAAAATATATCTTTAGGTTCGGACGTTGTCGGGTGAAATGGATGTTTGGTACAATCTAGAGAAAAGGACTGATAAATCTGCTGTTTCTGGTGCTATTCGATTACATATCAATGTAGAAATTAAAGGAGAAGAAAAAGTTGCTCCTTACCATATCCAATATACGTGTTTACACGAAAATTTATTCCATTCGTTATGTGAAAACAATGCAGGTATAGTACATTTACCTCAAGCCAAAGGAGAAGATGGGTGGAAATTATATTTTGAATCACCCGCACAAGATATTGTTGATGAATTTGCTATGAGATATGGGATAGAGTCAATTTATCAAGCAATGACGTAAGTCTAATTTTTTTTATATTGACTGTGTTACTATAAAATTTTAATGTAAATTTTAGACATTTTCATTGTCTTTCTACAAAGTATCTATGTCCTGGCGTTCCAGCTGTAATGAGTACTTTACTAGCAAATATAAACGCGTATTATGCACATACTACATCTAGTTCGGCTGTCAGCGCTAGTGATCGTTTCGCTGCTTCGAATTTTGGAGTAAGAGAATTTATTAATTCTATACTAATGGGCCCAATTAAATTTATTGATCAAATATTTTAATAATAATTTTATAGAAAGAAAAATTTGTCAAACTATTAGATCAGTTGCATAATTCGTTAAGAATAGACTTATCGATGTACAGAAATAATTTTCCTGCATCGAGTCAAGAAAAATTAATGGATCTCAAATCTACGGTTGATCTACTAACGAGTATCACATTCTTCAGAATGAAAGTATATAATTAAAATTATAAACATTTTGTTTATCAATTTGTTAAATTTTGATTTAGTTACTAAATCATTATACATCCTTATAGGTCCAAGAGCTATCCAGTCCGCCAAGAGCTAGTACAGTAGTAAAAGATTGCGTGAAAGCTTGTCTAAGATCAACTTATCAATTTTTGTTTGCTAATTGTTATGATTTATATGGTAGAGAATATCAGGTAATTATTGGTTAATGTTTTAATTTTTTGAAGTATAAAACTGCATCAGTATTTTTCAATTTTATGTAACTAATATTTTTCATATTTTGTTTCAGACTGATCCGAATGAAAAACGAGATGAAGACACAGGACCAAAATTAGATGATTTAGGTTTCTGGGATAAACTTGTTGCACTCGTTGCATCTGTAATTGAAGAAGATAGAAATAGCTATGCTCCTGTTCTTAGTCAATTTCCGGCAGAACTGAATATAGGACAAGTACTTTTTTTAATTATTCAACATACATACATTGAAAAAATTTATGTTATGCGTGATAAATACTTATTTTTATCAATTTTAGTTGTCTGCAGCAACGATGTGGAGTTTCTTTGCAGTAGACATGAAGTACGCTTTAGAAGAACACGAGACACATAGACTATGTAAAACCTCGGCCTATATGAATCTTCATTTCAAAGTAAAATGGCTGTTTACTAATTACGTTAAAGATGCGCCACCGTATAAAGATGCCATACCAGAATATCCATCATGGTTTGAGCCGTTTGTCATGCAATGGTTAAATGAAAACGACGACGTTTCTTTAGAATATTTGCATGGAGCTTTCAACAGGGACAAAAAAGACGGAGTAAGTAGACTTTATCGCCTTTAAACTTTTATATAGAAACTTTTAAAAACTTTATTTTGTAATTATAGTTTCAAAGAAGTTCGGAGCACGCGTTGTTTTCCAATTCGGTGGTGGACGTGTTCACCCAACTTACTCAGTGTTTCGGAGTTATATCCAAATTAGAATGTCCCGATCCCGAAATTTCCAATCGTTACATGAAACGACTTGCAAAAACTATCGTAAAAGTACTATTAGCATACGTAGACATTGTTCAGAAAGAATTCGATGCAAAAGAATTAGATGAGAGGACGGTATGTTTTTCCATAAGTTTTCTATAATTTTGATAAAATTAATATTTTTATTTTCTGTTTAGGCTTGTATATTAATGAACAACATTCAACAACTGAGAGTTCAACTAACTAAAATGTTTGAGTCAATGGGAGGAAAACAACTTGAGGAAGATGCAACTGATATTCTTAATGATTTACAAACACAATTACTTAAAGCATTAGATGAACTGGCTGGCAAATTTGGAAAAAGGTAAAAATTAATAAAAAAAAAAATGAAATCAACTACCCTTTAATATTTATTTTAATTAATTTTTTTAAATAGTTTGGAACCTCAAATTAAGAAAAGTGTCAAAGAACTTGGTGAGCTTTTACAAAGCATTAAAGGTGGTAGTCAAAATCCACAGCAAGTATCAATGATGGAAGTTGATGAAATATTGAGACCTTTAATGGATTTAATGGACGGTTCATTATCACTATTTGCTCAAACTTGTGAAAAACCTGTTTTAAAACGAATTCTTCGAGAATTATGGAAACTTGTAATTAGAATATTAGAAAGATCAGTGGTGTTACCTCCAATGATGGATAAAAGTGTAAGTTTACAAATCTTACCATTTAAATACAAAATCGTATTCTGTATTATTTGTATTAGACAGCTTAATAAAAAAAATAAATATGTTAAAATATTACGTTATTTATGTTTATAAGACCAGTAATAGAATTTTTTTTTTAAAGCAATGATATTTGATTTTAGCACTGATCAGATTTAAAAAAGTTTTATGAAACATTATAATATATTATAACGTTATTTTAAAATTCAATTTAACGTTATACAATTTTTATGTTTAATATTTTTAATATAAAAACGTTATTATTTTTATTCGTTTAACGTTAAAAAAGGCTCAAAATATAATTCACCGTCACAACCAATTTAAAAAAGGGGTAAATAAATACCTGTTTTCTTACAAAGATTTTTTTTTTAAATATTGTATGGAAATAATTTATTTTTGTTTCAATAAAAATTATGTTACATTATAACATATGAGTAGTAATATCCTTAACGATATTTTACATTTATTGATATGAGTTATTTTTTAGTAACATTATTAATAACTTTTTCCTATCCTGATTTTTAGATGATTCTCAAAAATCTCAGTGAAAATGCAAGATCATTAGCAGCAAATGCAAGAATTGAAGATATGTCTAGATTAATTAGGAATCATATGGCTGGAAAACAAGACGTAAAGAATGCTTTAACGGGTGTTATGGTATGTTGGCACTCTATTTATGCATAAAACATTATTAAAGTGTTAACAATAAAAATTTACTTATATTTTAGGACATGGAAAAGAATTTGAATACTAAACAATGTAGAGTACTTGAAGCTGCTCTGAAAACCATTAAAACGTACTTCCATGCCGGCGGAAATGGATTAAAAAAAAAATACTTAGATAAAAGCTCTGATCTACTATCATTGTGCTATGCTCTTTCGTTGTATACAAGATCAACAGACGAACTAATAAAGACGTTTGTTTTAACACAGCTACATCAAGGTACACAACTACTCTAAAAATTAATAACCCGCCTAGTATAAAAAAATTATAAATTATTAATTTTAGTAGAGAACTTTAAAATTTAATTTATAATTATAAAAAACACACTTACCGTAAATATGATAAAAAAAATGTATGATATACATTCTATCATATCTAAACAATTATGCATTTGTATTATTTAGTTCCACAAAAAAATGATCCTTTACCTCGTCAACCATCACTTATGAGTGGTACTGAAGTTAAAGATGAAATGGATGAAATGGATTATGATGAAGATGATGAAACAGAAGAAGAGGAAGCTTTGGATGAAGCAGAAGAAGATGTAAAATCTATGGGGAGTCGAATGGAAAAATTGTTTGAAATCTCTAGGAGACCTTTGCAAGGTTAATAACGAATTAAATTAAATACTCATATAAAATTATAATATCAAATAGATAAATTTATCATTATCTTAATTTTAGAAAACTACGTCTACGAAGAACCATACGGTGAAATTTCAATCAATGTATACATTGAAACGCATCCAACTAACAATGAGTTTAAACTTACAGTTACAGGTAAATCGTTTTATTTTGTAATTTAAAGCTTATAACTTTAATTACTTTTATAAATTAACATAGTTACGTGAAAATCATGACTCTTCAACATAATTTTAAATTATTAACGATACTTTTATGAGTTTATTTTTAATATTAATGTCTAAATTTATATAAGTGAACCATTTTGAAAAATTTTACATCTTAATATTTCGAATTAATTTGCCAATAATAACATAAAATACGAAGTATTTAGGTAATTCGTGAACTAGAATATGATTATAATGCTGTTTTAAAATAATTAATTGTATAATTTACTGAAAATGTTTGTATTTTAGTTTATATAATTAGAAGTATTTATAATTTTGTAGAATACTTGCACACTTAAAGTCCATAATTCTATTACTCATTTGGTGTGCCTTTATTTATACTGTTCAAAGTAAATACAGAGGTACAATAAAATATAACCAACTAATGTTTGATTTAAACAGAAGTGGCATTCCGCAAAACTCTTAACTAGTAATTTAATTAAAAATCCCCTTTAAACAAAATCCATCCTCTATACACAACGAATGTTCTACCATATTAAAATCTTTGATTTATCTATTCAAATATATTCTAGAAATAAAAATATTATTCTTGTCAATTTTGTGGTATATTCCGTTTTTTAAGACAATTATTCATTTCAATAATCAAATATTAACTATCTACTATTTTATAACAATTATAAAAATCTATTGTTCCTATAGTTTTTTCAATTTATTTAAAACAAGCTAAGAAAGATTTTTAATTTGTGGACGAACAACGTTATTTAAATTTAAAAGAAGTTTAATAATAAAAAATATGTAAACTATTTTGTTAGTTTTATTTGTTTTTAAATTCTTCAAATCCTCATTTCTGCCCTTATATTTAGTTGTCGCTGCAAACACTCTAGTATGGCCAACTACTGGTATGTTTCGTCCATTTGTTGAAGTTAACCTAATCGGACCAAGATTATCAGATAAAAAAAGAAAACAATCTACTAAAAGTAAATCAGGAAGCTGGAGTCCTAGATACAATGAAGCTTTCGTTTTGTAAGTTATACATAAACATTAGCAGTTATATTGTATTGGAATTTGGAAATTATGATCTAACGATTTTTATTACAGTTCAATCAGTGCATTGGAAGAGTTGGAATGTTATGAACTACATTTTTGTGTGAAAGACTACTGTTTTGCAAGAGAAGACCGACTTGTTGGGGTAGCCGTTTTGCAAATGAGACACGTTCCTATTATGGTACAATTTTATGATACTTGTCAATAAAAATATTAACATCATACATTATCCTTCATAATATTTGTAGGTCCGAACTGGAGAATGGCTAGGATTAGGTAGAAGAATACAAATGAATGAAACTGGGTGGACGATTTTGAGAATATTATCGCAAAGATATAATGATGATGTAGCCAAAGAGTTCGTTAAACTTAAATCGGAAACAAGGCAAGAAGATCAATCGTCCGTGCAGGGAACGTAAACACAAAATGTCGTTCATAAAATGTTTCTCTCTATCAGTCTTCCATTTCAGAATATTATTATTGTTGTAATAATTAAATAAGACTTTATTCTCTCAGAAGAAATTATAATTGTGAAAATTTATAAATTAGAAAAAGAGAGTTGTGAACATACACACAAGAGATTCTATTAAGTTGGTAGATTATTGTAAAGAATATTCAATTTAAAAACTCATAATTGATTATATTTTGTGACTATTTCCACTATCTTAACAATACATTTTAAAACCAAAAACTGTAAAGTACACACGTATGTTCATTTAAACTTGCGTTTTAATTAAATAAACGGGACCATTGTAATGTTTAAAAAAATGAATTATTCCCTTCAATAATATTCCGATTGAAAATTGAATTTTTATTAATAAGTAAAAAATAAGAAATAAAACAAATTTTTTTACGATTATTGAATTTAAATAAATATGAAATGTTTCCGAGGGGGTGTTATCACTTAATATTTCTTTAATTAAAAATTATGATTCTAAGTGAAAATATTGTTATAGAAAATTTCTTGGTCGAAATGAATGTTAGTTGAATACTTGTAGTACGGAAAATTTACACTTACTGGATTAATAACTTACAGTTAGTTCAAAACGTTGATATACTACCCATAACGAACGTATTCTGCTTACATTTCAATTACATACCTTTGATTTCTCTTGCAGAGCATTCTGTATAAAGTTAAATACTTAGATTGTATTCTGTATAATAGGACATCATTATAGATAACCAAAAATTATTATTCTAAACGCTTAAACAAACTTCTGCCGATTTTATCTTAGATTTTAACTTATACATATTCGCATATTAAATGATATTGACAAATAATGTCTTCCATTTTCTCTTTTTTATTTGTCGTATTAACTTAAAAACACGTCGTTTCATTCTCATTAAGTATCATTATATCCCTTTGTTCTTTTAGCTCTATTTGAAGTTTCTTGTTCATATCGTTTTATTTATTTTTTACTATAACGGTCAACTATTTTCGATTTTAAAATATCTCATTGAATTTTAAACAGAGATAGATATCAAAAATTCAATTAACTTTTTATATGACAACGCTTTTAATTTATTCACCTTATTGTTACTTTAGAAGTTAATAAGTTAAACAATTTTAACTTATCCGTCCTTGTTACCCAATTAAATTTGTATTGTTGGCCATAACGTGACACGTGTTTAATTTATTTTTCAGCAATAAACTTTCAGTACTGTCGATGTATATTTAAATAGTATTACAAAATATTGTTGAGTATTATTACTTGAATTATCAATAAGTATAAATTGTGATAAATTTCAATTTAAATGATTAATTTTTTTTATGATATTTTAGTGTAACGTGTAAAAAGTTGTGTAATAATTTATTGTACATGTAAAAATTTATGTTATATGATTTGTAGATGTTAAGCTTAACAGATTCTTTATTATTTACGTAATCATTTTCAGGCGATCAAGACGAGACAAAACTTGACGTATTAATTATTATGTTTAAAAAAAAAAGTTACCTATTTACATTTCAAAAGTATTATTATTATTATATGTTTTATTTGTTCAAACATTACTCCCCAACCGTACCCATACATATCGAACGATAGGTAATTTTTGTTTGTGTTTTAATGACTATCAACACGATTTTGTTATTCTTTTCGATTGCTAAACGTGTTTATAAGTTCAATTATAGGGGCCTTTATTTTTTATATAATGTAAAAATGTATTATGTATTTAATAATTTAGACGTTAAATGTTTTAGTCGAATCTGTTAAATTAAACGACTTTAGATTGTTAACATGAAAACATTTACTATATCGTCATTTTGATAAACCAGGGTAAACGTATTAAGCAATGTGTTGTTTTTGTATTAATATTTTATTGTAATTATGCACTTATAACGATACTTTTTTAATTATTATTATTATTTTTTTTATCAATACTTGTATGTACACCGATTTCGGTTTCTATTAAAAAGATAAAAGTGAGACAATACGTTAAAATATTGTTCAACATACGGCGTTACTTTGTACTGCCCTTAAGGTAACGCATAACTTCGACATGATAATTTCTAAACTATGTTTATAATATAATAAATTAATTATTATTGACTTTTCTACGCTCTTTTATTATCTTCATAGTGTACTCGAAATTATTTATTATTAATTTCAAAGACTTATTTTAATTTATTATTGTTATAACTGATTTATTATTTTACATAAAATCAACAATAATAATACATCTAAACATTATTGATAATTAAATTGAACAAGATGCATTTTTTTTTTCATTCAAAAAAATTTTTAGAATTATTTTTTAGACTAAAAGCTCAGATTTTCTTTAAATTACAATTCTAAAAGCTATAAAAAAAATAAAAACATGAAATTCTATATTGTGTGGACTGAATGATTCAGATAACTATCTCAGCATAGTTAACAAAATATATTAATTAACACCAGAATTCGTTAAACGTCAATTCATTATATCCTCTATTTTATCTCATTACAATCAAATTATTGATTACCTCATTTAACAGGTATCAATGAGAGTTTTAATGAGACACGTTATTTATGTTATACATTTACACCGATGAATTCAGTGACGTTTATAAATGACTTTTAAATGAAGATCGAAAATGAAAAATTAAAAATCACAGGATGAACACATGATCAGCATGTGTTTTTTTATTTTACTCATCACTATTTTTATGAAAGCGATAATTTTCATAAGGTGTCCTTCTAAGGTACCATCTCATGGCCCAAATAGGTCTTAATCCGGCCTTGCTCTGGAGAGAGCGAGTTATATAAACACCCCTTTATTTTTGATACATCAAAAAAAATTACAAAATTGTAATTTTGCAATTATTTCTAAGTAAAAAAAATGATTATACACATAAGTTTTAGCAGTCTCAAAAATTTAAACTGAATGTGCGCATATGGTTTTCTTCATCATACTAAAATAATATACATATTGTTTTTCTTTAAATAAGGATAAAGCCGCGGCAACAAAGACAATTGACCGGTAAATATTTTAAGTAATAATCGCTGAATGAATTTATAAAAAATTGCAAATAGATATGATGTAGTCAGGAGTTGAATTTAGGCAATGCAATTGACATAAATACACTTAACAATCATGACACGACTCGTCGTCACCAAATGGATAAAAATGAAAAAACAGTACCAGGGATTCAGAAGGTGAACGTCACATAATTGAGTGGCCGTTTTATTTTATGTAATTCAATGTGCGTACATTTAAAAATATTTTGAAAATAGTACCAGGAGTTCAGAAGGTGTTGGCGATTTTTTTTCATCTATCAAAACTAATAAAGCGGGACGGCGTGTTCGTGGACAATTTTTATACCGCTAGCCACTAACTGGTACGCAGCAAGTGCTATGTCTCGTGTTATTTACCACCTTATTTTAACGTTCAATGTATGACATTGTATCACGTATTAGAGTGCTGATAATTAGTAGAATAAGTTATGCCGCGAGACTAAAATTAATAATGTCAATCTCAAAATATCCAATAGCTCTTATTTTTAAGAACACTTTTCTTTATTGATTGGCTGTGGTGTAAAAATTTGAGGAAACGTTTTTTAAACTGTGAACTAAACATAAAATATAATAAAAGAAATTTTTTGAAATAAAACTCACCGTTTCGAGATTAAAATAAATCCATTGTAAATACGCGGGTGTTTTACTTACTATCAGTAGTGTTATCACAAGTTATTGTTTATTAGTCAAAATGATAAACCGCATTATTCAATTGTTTAATTATAGTTATACTTGTAAAGGATTCTAACTTTTTGAGTTATTAATAAATTATTACTACAAATTATATTTTTTATTATAAAATACTATATTATTTTATATTTCGCAAGTTTATCTTTTTATTATATCTAAAAAAAAATATATGAAAATTTATAACAATGAGATAAATTATTAAAAAAATTGACTTTGATTTTTAATAATAGCTGCTAATATACTATGAAAAAGTTTATTTGCAGTAAAGATAAAATAAACTTGAAATGTGTTTTATTAGGTGGTCAGTGTTTCAGGTATTTGAAAAATTGTATATAATATTTATTTAAAATATCTTTGTCTAAATGTAATGAATGTCAAGCTACTCTAGTAACACCTAAATTTGGTGTTAAAACATTTCTAAAAATTATTATCTGTATTAAATACTGTTAATACTTTGTGTTACGTAGGCAATCAAAAATGTTTATCAAAACACCCAATCTACTGCTGAGGAATCTTAATAATATGAATTGATATCAAATAAGCATTCTGACAGGACACAGTTGTCTGCTTAAACATCTTTACACATTGAGGTTATGAGGGTAACAAAATCACCACTGTGTAGGAAGTGTGAAACAGAAGAGATAAATTTATTTCACATTGTGTGTTAATATTTTACCCTAGGCACACTATTATCTTAGTAAAAGTATTTCCTGAAAAAAATGATATCAAAAACCTAAAACTCTATTGATACTTAATTTTGCTAGAAAGAAATGAATCATTGAACAAATATTGGGTGATCTAATAGAATCTGTATATTTGTATACATATGTAGTGTTTAGTATACAAACAATAACACTCATATGTAAAAACCAAATTAATTTAATTTAGTTAGAAATGTGCACAATGGACCTACAAGTCTTAGTACGTGTTCTTGTTCATCTCTCTAACAACCAAAACTAATACTATTAATAATTTTTAAACATTTTTAGAATACACTTATTGTTTTTCCATACATACAGTGTCAACCTGATTTCTAATTAGGCCTCCTAGCAATACATTTAAATTAGAAATTTTTTATGGGTATTTAAATAGTTTTTGAAATGTAGAACGAAAAGACGTTCTATCCCTTTACACATCTGAACTACCATAATTTTACGTTAAAGAAATAAGTTAATCAATTTTTTCTAAAATTACCATTATTTAATTTTGATCTTGGGCAATAAGCTCCAGAATTGTCGGGGAGACACTGGTGCCTGCTTATATTATACATAGAATACTACATTTATTAATGATTTGAATACTGTTAAGTTACCATTATATTTTAAGGGTCTAGTACAATTGTTTGTTAACTTCGTTCTCTTTTTCTAAAATTCATATTTTTTAAATTTCTGAAAATTTAAAGTTTAGTAAACACTAAAGTATAAAGTTTGATATATACAATGAAGTATATCACTTAGTATTTTTTGTTTGCAAAATAATTTCAAAATTTTGATAAGAGATTGTTGTATTAAACCCTTCAATTTAAAATTTAGTAATTTATTACTCATTTTATAAAAGTCAAAGTTCAATTTTTTTGTTTTTTAAATTACAATAATTTATTTTAATTAATTATAACTTCAAAATATTTTATTTTAAAAATTATTAATTATGTTTAATAGATGGAAAGAAACAGTACCTAATGAATATGTGGGAGTTTATGCTGATGGCCTTTGGACATTAGTGCAGTATGATGATCATATTGCATACAAACGTAATCCACCTACTGATTCTGATGAAACAACATTGTGCCATTATCTCAGGATGGACGAAGATTTGGAAAAATACTATGAAATATGGAGTCTAAATGATCCCATATTTAAAAAAAGTGCTCAAAAATTCAAAGGAATTCGAATGTTAAGACAAGAGCCTATTGAAAATATTTTGTCCTTTATATGTTCTTCCAATAATAATATTATAAGGTAACTATCTCAGTCGATAAGAAAAATTTTAAGTTACAAAATTTTTATGTATGTTTTTTTTTTTCAAGAATATCTTCAATGGTTGAAAAAATGTGTAGCCTCTATGGTAAAAATATAATTGGAACCCAGTATTATGCTTTTCCTAGTATTGATAAATTAGTTGGAAATGATGTTGAAGAAGAACTGAAGAAAGCAAAATTTGGTTATAGAGCTAAGTTTATACGACAAACTGCTGAAAAAATAGTTGAATTTGGAGGGAATAAATGGATAGAAAAGTTGAAAAATATGGACTACACTTGTGCCAAAAAAGAACTGATGTTATTGCCAGGAATTGGACCTAAGGTAATGATAATTTCAAATTATCTTCAAATATTATGATTATCTATCCCAAAATATGTCGCTTAAAACTTAACTGACATTAAAAATAATGATTTTATGACTTATTTGAGTAAAACATGATACTCATCAAAATTTTGCAAATAATTCCCTGTTAATAATAGTTAAACATACATTAATTTACAATTCTGCAATGAACATACATTTTTTTATAATAAACAAAAATGAGTTGTTGTTTAAAGATAGTAGTTTGCATGGTTAAAGATACTGTTTGTAAGTAGAACTTCATGTTTTGAAATTATGATATTAATTAGTTAACTATACTTACAATTTAAAAGAAAAAGTTAATTTTGCTTTTTTTGTCTTGTATATAGAGTATCTCGCAATATTTAACATCTTTAATAACTTTTAATCCAGCAAATGTTATGTATTACTTTTTTTTAAATGATTTTTACATTTTGGATAACATTTAAAAAATATTTTTTTATTAGTTGTCTCTAATAAAAAAATATTTTTATTTATTTTTTGAAATTTTAAATAGCTATTTTTAGCCATTGTAAGTACTTATCCTAAATTAAAAATTTTTAATTTAATTGACCAATTTAAAAAGAAAATTAAAATTCTTTTTTTTGTTAGAGAAAAATATTTAAATATATGTCTGTTATGTTGTCCAAGACTACAAAAATTATTTAAAAAAAAAGAATGAACTTAAAAAGTATTACATACCTAATAATTCAAGAATAATATGTAACTAAAGGTATCCAAAGAAAAAAACAAAAAACATTTTTAAATTATTTTTATTTTGTGAGTAAAAATCACTTGTATACACTGTCAACCTAGCGTTAGATAACATATTTCAGTTTAAAACTTTTTTTTTAATTGTGATATCTAAACATGCTGTTTGTATTTATTTTTTCTTATTGTGATATTATACCAAAATAAGTAAATAAATAAATTTCCTAATAAATTTAGGAAAATTCCCATGTATGTCAAACATTTGTTATGGTAAAATGTTTTATATACACTGCTGGCTAGTGGCCATAAAAAGTTCTTCTTAAAAGTGTTTAAAGTTATTTCTTAGTAAATAATGAGTTTCTGAGAGAACATGTTATAGAAAATTATAATACCTGTAATAAAAGTTACAATAAGTTACATGATAAATGCTTCAAATTATGATTGTCATATGTCGGTAGTACAGCGACAAATAGTAAACATGGTTACATACAATTTTACTCCATAGTGTAAAAAACTTAGAAGAAGTAAAGGGGTTAACCTAGGACACTCGAACATCGCCAAACTTATTTATTTATTTTATAGAATAAATGCCGAGTACCTGGTGTCAAATTTTTTTTGAGATGAATAATAAGACCACCTATATATGTGTATATATTTATATACTTTTTATTTTACATCAATATTTATTTTAGGTAGCTGATTGTATTTGTTTAATGTCTCTTGAACATCTTGAAGCTGTTCCTGTTGATACTCATGTATTTCAAATTGCTCGTGACAATTACTTACCACATTTAAAAAAATATAAGAGCGTAACTGATCGTGTTTATAATGAAATAGGCGATTACTTCAGATCATTATTTAAAATACATGCAGGATGGGCACATACAGTGAGCATAAAAAAAATTATTATAAAATAATTTATAACTTAAATGTAAATAAATTTTTGTGACATTATATTTTTAGCACAATTAAACTAGCAAAATTATAATGAAGTACTTGTCTAAGTGATAATTAACATTATTTAAATCAGTCTAGTTTTTTTTTTATTAATAAATGATAAGTTTTCACTGCTACAAATATTGTTATACTTATAATAGCATAATTGGAATAAAAATAATTTTTCTTTTGGCTAAATTAATTGTATAATAATTGTTTTTATATAACTTGTGTTATTATATTTTTAATTTTAATTAGAAGGAGGTAAATGTTATTTTTTTTTTTTAGTTATAATATACTCAAAAGGTTAAAATTCTTAATCAATATTTATTTTTGGTAATTGTAGTAACTGCCTATAATACTATTAAGATTGTATGCCACTTTTATTCAGACATGTTATATTTGTTAGGTAATTAATATGTTTTATTCTAGGTTCTATTTTTAGATGATCTTAAGAGTTTTAAGGAATATGAAGGTTATTGCGAGGTAGAAGAAAACATAAAAAAATCAACGAAGAAGAAGAAGATATGTTGACAGTATATGTTCCTATTTCATATTTTAATACTGTATTTTTTATGTTTAGATAAATTATTTAAAAATAGAAAGTTGATATCATCACACGTGTAATTATGTGTTAAAATTATATTTGTTATTCTCAACTAAAAATTGATAGAAATTTAGTTTTTTTTTCAATATGACCCAGAAACGAATATATATTTTCATAAAAAATACGAATTATTACTTTTATTATGTTTTTATTTCTAAGTACAACATTTTATGATTTTGATAAATTTATGTTCCACTATTAAAATCTCCATAAAGTTAAAAATTGAATTTAATCAGATAGACCCTTTTTGTTAGTTCTTATCTTGGATTTTATTTTGATTTATATTGTTTACTTATCAGCCTGTCAAACCTCGATTCCATAAAATATTGCCATTCGGCAATGGAGGATAATCACGATTACTACGTGCAGTCTGCTCTCGGAGTTTATCAAAAACGTTTATTCCTTATTTAATTTACAACGTAATTCTTTTACCAATATTATTGTACTGATTTAGGTTTGAGTCTCATTAAACCGTATTTTTTTAATGATAATTATAGCAATTCGTATTCCAAGTACTACATTACTTCAATATGAATGAAATTTTTTTATGTGTGTGATCGAGACAATAAAGAAACGTTAATTTTTTTATTTTTAAAAGAAACTAATATCCTATGTTTACAATATTATTTACCATAGGTCGAAAAATAATAAAGTCTTGGTGTGTTTAAAACGTATTGCATTATCACGATTTAAATTGCAATTGTTTATTTTTCTTATTATATCGATGATTACTTAATAATAATTATATTAATGCATTCAAATTATATTTCGATATGAATAAAACCTTTTTTAACATGCTTATATTTGTTTCACGTGTATGTTGTTTTTTATGTGTGTTGTTGCTCGATAGTGAAACATGATTTTTCCTATTTATATTACTTTTTTTATTTGAAAAAATAATAATTTTTTATGTGTGCGATATCTTTACAAACGTTAAGACATCATTATCCGATATAAAAAATATCGTAACTGATATTACATTTTATGCATGGAAATTATCGTACACAGCGACTCTTACTTAGTCAATTATTATACAATGAACTTCCGATTCGTATCATTTTGTTCCAATGACAAACAATTCACTATTGTATTATTTTCAAATTTACGAGTTTAAATATTTATTTATTTAGCGAATACTCGGAATATTCGTTTTTGCCTACTCCGTTAAATACATTCAAAGTACTTTAATTTCGAATACTCTACTTTTTAACTCCTATTCGATACGAGTGACCGTGTCACATGGCCGCCGCGCAAACGTCATACTGCCGCCAATGCCTTTTTCAAGAATGCGGTTGCCCGTTATCATTACCGTATGTATCTATCTCCGTAAACCTTACTTTTCAACCGACGCGTTGGGCGTGCTACCAATTTCACCTTTTACCCCTTTCCATAATCTGTTACCTACTTGGTAACCGGTTTTTGCCATCCCTTCTCTAGGAGCAAACCATTGGTTTCCGTAGCGAGACGTACGTTCGAAACGTTTGGACTTCCTTTCCGAAATCGTCTTCTCCCGATCCAACTTCGCTTTTGCAGCCTCTGTGCTAGAATCGCGGACGGGTTTGGATTTGTTGGATGGGGTGGCATTTTTTCCCGTAATCACTTGCTCCTGATCCCGAAAAATATTACTCTATAATTGTTAATTATTTAAACGTATCATTCGGGTTTAAATAAATACATACACTACTTACATTTCTGTACGTTGTACCGTAACACACACACACACGAAACGACATAGAATAATATATAAATGACAATAATAATATAACGTGTTTTGTAAAATTTTGAAATAAAATGCGGGTATAGATTAAATGCACCTAACGTCTTTATCGGATACCTACAAAAGTATACTTCTAATCATATTTATTCCGCTAGATGCGAGACAAAATCTTGACAATTTGCCTTTGCAATTATATTTTAACTAAAAACGATTTTGATAACATATTAAGTCGAAGAATATTTCTGAACTTAAATTAGTATCATAACGTAATGGTTTATTTATTGAAACATTACTTATAATCAAAATTATTACAAAATTTATAATGGTTTTTTAAATAAATATTACGGTCTATGATTATAATGATTCGATTATAGTTTTTAAATATTGTCGTATTTTTTGAAATTAATCTAAACTTGAGGTGTTTGATTGAAATTTCTGAGTGGCTAATGTCCCATAGCATTCATTGAACATTTCCCCGTTTCATAAATAGATTTTGAACAAAATATTTGTGAGTAAGAGGTAAGATATTGAGGGACTTGACCAGTGTTCGAAACCAAAAATGATAGCAGAATTTTTAGGTGCATAACTGTATACACAGCATACCGCAAATAAAGATCCTGTTCAGTAAATTTCTGTATATTAAAAGTACGCTTTCCTAAGAATCATTACTATAATCAAATTCATGTAATTTCAAGAATTTATGGAACTCCCTGACAAAATAACACATTAGCAGAATGAAATACAACATAGCGGATATGAGATTGTGTGGAGACCGCAGTAAAAAAAAATCGGAATTTTAAAGCAGAAAAAACGTAAAATCTATTCTAGGTGAAGCTATAATGATGGGCTGGGATTTTAGTATATAGTAAATACCTATGTTAATATTATGTAAATGACTTTTTGTATATCTGATGGACAAAAATAAAAATAATATTAATTTTAGGAATATATTTTTTTGCTCCATGATTTAATGCCAACTTTTGAAGCTCGTTGCCCCACTGTGCGTCGAATCGTTGAATCCGTGGATTGATTTGGAGTATATCTTCTCATTGTATGTAAAATTATTTTATTGTTCAATGTCATTACATTTGTATTTTGCGGACGTCCGATTGAATTTAAATATGAATTTATACATTTGAAAATCATATCATACAAAAAAAAACATATTAATTAGATGATCTATTAGAATTCATCTAATTGAGCTTATTTCCTAAACAAAAAATCTACCTCAGTCTCTCCAATAGGATAGTTAATGCCACTAGTCAAGCACTGTAATGTTGCATTACCAATTATGTCAAAATAACTGTTACTTCTTTTTAAGCTCATTGTATTTTTTATCTCTTTTAAGATTTATGGTATTCAGTTTCAAATCTATCATATAAATACACTTTAAAGTAGACTTAAAAGTAATGAAAGTATTTGTTTTGAATTAAAAACATTCGAAACTATGTTAGCACATGTTAATTACGTACTGTTAATACAAAATAGAACAATTTTATAAAAGCTTATAGAAAATAATAATGTTAAACAAATAAATAACTGGAGTCAATTTTAGCTTCGATGCGAAGCTGAGAAGGTATTAATTTTACTATGATGTGTTTTTTTTTGTGTCTTTTACCACTTTTTCTCAGCTCTCACTGAACCGATTTCTTTCAATGATACGTCAAAAGATCACAAATCGTATCTAGTCTAACACTACTAAAACCTTGATTAATGTGTTGGACATATATGCTAAGAATTATGAAAGAAGGTTAAAACATTAAAGCGGGTTATTTAAAATGATTTACTACACTAGTGTACTTTATGTATAACTACTACTACCCATTTACTATTCAATTATGTATTATTGTTAAATAATAATTTATTTTACAGGATATATATTTTATGCGAAGTGTAAAAAATAGCACTCCTCGGGGTAAATTATACGCAAAATTTTATAATAACATGCGATCGCTGAAGACAAGCGGCTTAATAGAAAAAAATAATAAAAATATTAATCTGAATAATTCTTCAACAGATAACTTTATTATAGGTAAAATATTTATTGTTAAATTTAACCGTTGGTGCAACTACAATAAAATTATTTTTACTTCACCTTAAAAAATAATAATTATTTTATTATAAATTTATTTACCTTAAAAAATTTATAGAGCAATTTAAACAATTTTAGTAGGTAAAGACTCTATATTCCCACTTAGTTGCATCAGTGAATTTAATTGAAATATTTTTTTAATTAATAATCATTAATTTATTTAGAACCAGAAGAAGAGAACATCAGAGATATAGACATTATAAAATACAATCATTTAAATATTCCATTTCCGCAGTTACAAGAGCATTGGAGTTCTACTGTCAATTATAGACTTAAAAGGATTAGAGAGGCTAAAGAAACAAACGAAATAATAAATGAATGGGCTAGTTATAGATTGCCCCTTGGATATAAACTCGTATGTGAAATGTATTGCTTATACATAAAATAATTAAATTCAAGAGTTACATTTTTGTAGGTGGATATTGACTTTAAACAACTTATCAAATATAATAGTATGATGGTCGATTCATTTGATGATTCTTACCAAGATATTATGAATATTATAGAAAAACACAATAAAGACCGAGATAGCAAAATACTTGTAGAACAACTTCTCAAAGATCAGACATTTGTCAAAGTAATAATACTTTATTACAAATATAAATCAAATTATTTTAGCAGTTTAATAAAAGGATATTTTAGCATTAAATTAATTATTTTCTTGGTCAGGTGGAACTAATACAGCATTCTTCTATTTATTAAGCTCGCTTTTCGTGCCAACGTCGCGAAAAGTGACGAGAGATAAAAATGGAAAAAAAAATATCATTAAATATTCTATAAAGAATTCTCAAAATTCATTCATTAGTTTCCACGAGACAGTTGAACAAGCTGAAGCTTACATCTCATTACTACAAAGTAGAAATCAGCCAATACAACCATTCATTTTAATTATTGGCACGATTTTAAAACCACGTGATATATTATTATATTTTGATACCATCAAGTATAAAATTTTTTTAATAATAAGAGCAGTGGATGTCTGCTTTAAGATATTCCATGTTTTTAATTCAGTGTTGAGAAGGAACTGGTTCCAAAAGGAACGGATTCCTGGAACGAGTTCTTTTTGAAAGAACGATGCTAGGAACTGCTTCATTTTAAAATAAAGGAACGAGGAAAATGAACAAATTCCATTTTTTAAGGAACGTGAACGGAAATTACAGTTCCTAAAAATTTTTATAAACATGTTTTAGTGTAGTTTTCTTCGTATCTAGACATTAAAATATTAAGGTATTTTTAGTTGACTTTTGACAATGGAAGTCTCCTAATACCTAGCCGAGATCGTAGGCTGTTTAAATGAATCAATTGACTATAAATAGAGTTATTATCACATGTAGGTATACAGTAAATATTTAATATACAGAATGTTCAGTAAGTCAGGAAACGGGTTTGTAACAATGAGAACAATAGAAACCCGTTTTCTGACTTACTGAACATTCTGTATATTAAATAATGCACCGAATATTATCGTCGTTTCTTGTTAACTAATATAAAGAGTGTTCAGTAAGTCAGGAAACGGGTTTCTATTGTTCTCATTGTTACAAACAATGAGAACAATAGAAACCCGTTTCCTGACTTACTGTACACCCTGTATGTTAAAGGTTTTGGGTTTTCTGATTTATTATTTCTAACTTATATGTAGACAATAGACATTGGTCGCGTTGACACAAGTCGTTAGCATTTACTACCTGCTTATAAATATAATTTTCGAATACTTTTAGATAAGGAATACTACAAATTTGTTTTGTATTCGACTGCTGATGAAAATCATTGATGACCGTTATCATGATCTCATTGCCACAATTTTTTAAATAACTTGGTTACATAAAAGGAACGAAGAGTGGAACGAGTTCTTATTTTGGAGGAACTGGATCTGGAACAAGTTACTTCTTAATATAAAGAACTAGGATCTGGAACGAGTTCATATTTTAGAAAATGAACGGGGAACGGAACGAGTTCTATTTAAAAAGGAACTTTCCCAACACTGTTTTAATTTAGAATACCCACTTCCATCATGCGCTGTCTGGACATTTATTCAACAATTTTACTACAAATTATTTTTAAAGAACGACTACTCCCATAAAACAGTAAAACAAGTGCTACATGATCTCAACAAAATAGTAAAATAATATTATTATATTAATATTATATTGAAAAATCCTTTTATTTTTTCACTTTATATTTTTCTTCTTTTCATTTGTATTAATTATTTGTAAATTATTAATTTTTATTTGATTATTTAAAATTAATTTTACATCCAATGTATAAAGTTTATACTATAAACAGATTGTAAGCTTTCTTAAAATTCATTAAAAATAAAAGGTGTTAAATACGCCGTTTCAGTTTATATTCCATATGTCTATTTAAATACACATGTGTAAAGGTTTTATTTATAATTTACTATTAAAAAATTAAAAGTTGTTCATTAAATTATTTTTAATATTATAAATATTACACAATATATATATTAAATAACGTATTTATTTAAGTAAATTATTACCATAATTAAGATTAAATTTATAATTTAATATGGGTTTTATTTGAACACTAGTTTAAAAGCTAAAATATCATACCCTAGCAGTAAGGACAACAGAAACTAATTTAGTATTTAAATACTGGCTACACTGAATATTGACCAATTTCTCAATTGATTTTCCACCATTTTTTCAGTGTTATCTCTAGAGTAAGTTGCATAGCGATTGTGAATGACGTAATGTTTTCAATTTGTTGGTCGTTTGTTTAAAGTTTGTTTCTATTAAAATATATTTTGAAATTGTTTTGTTAATACCACGATTATTTTGACTTATAAAATTCATTATGGCCCTAAAGGCAGTTGTTGGACAAAGTATATATTTATAATTTAATGTTTTTCGTATAATTTTTTTCAATTTTATTTTTAAGTTTTTTAAAAGTACTATATTTATTTTTAATACTTTTGCTATAGAAATTATGAATGATGTGATCAAACAAAAAGGAGTAAAAAAAGGTGCTGAAAAAGGTATTGAATGGCGTGTCATGGTTGTTGATCAACTTGCTATGAGAATGATATCAGCTTGTTGCAAAATGCATGAAATTTCTGCTGAAGGAATTACAAGTAATTTATAAGTAATAATTTTTTTTGAATATTTTTCTTATGAACCTTTGTGTTTGAAGTTGTTGAAGATTTACAAAAAAAGCGTGAACCATTAACAACATTGGAAGCAGTGTACTTGATGTCGCCAAGTGAGAAGTCAGTTGCTGCACTTATAAGAGATTTTTCAAGCCCAGGAAAATCAATGTACAAAGCAGCGCATGTATTTTTTACTGAAGGTAATCTTAGCTATTAAAATTATTTTATAAAATATTTAAATGTTAAAAATTAGAGGACTTGACATTTTCTAAAAGATATTTAAAATTGCTCAACAATTGTATTTTTGCTACTATTATTATTTATGAATAAACTCATTTGTAGTTTCTATTTCTACTATTAAATATAAAATAATAAAATTAATTTTTTATCAAAAAATTTTAATAACACAAATTTTCTCTTTCAAAATAACAAAACTGTTTGGGAATGAGATTTTAAATTAAGATAAAAAATCAACAAAGACATTAAATAACATTTCCCCAAACCCTTATTTATATTACAGCATGTCCCGATGAGTTATTCAACAAGTTAAGTTTATCCCCAGCTGCCAAATTCATCAAAACATTAAAGGAAATAAATATTGCATTTATATCATATGAACAACAGGTAATTTTAAGGATATTGCTTCAAAACTAACTGAGTTTTAAAAATATTCGTGGTGAATGTGTTAACTGAATTATATTTATTTGCCATCTACTAACTAAAACATTTTAATGAATATGTCTTACTATAAATTATTTATACTTTTAATCATACATTTTTAATTTTTTGTTCTCATTGTACTACAAGAAGTTTGTTTATGATTTGCTTAGTTGACTATTCTAATGTATTAATCCATGTCTTTGGTGATGGTAATAATAATATAACAATATTTCTTATTTAATATTATGAGATATATTATATCATAAATATTATATTTATATATCCTATATAATATATTTCTAGTAAAAATGTTTATTTTTGCTTATCTATTCACACTAATAATATTTCTTGCTTATTTTAACAAAAGCGTGTCAAGAAGAGCTCTTTAATGAGCTTTGTAAATCAATTGCTGCCAAAAAAATTAAAACGCTCAAAGAAATAAATATTGCTTTCCTTCCATATGAACGTCAGGTGTGTTTGACAATTTTTTATTCATAATATATTATTTTCATTCATATACATGATATATACTAACACATACTTAATCAGCTCTTTAACTATTTTCTAGGTATTTTCTTTGGACTCAAAAGAAACTTTTCAATGTTATTACAACCCTTTATTGGTAAGTAGTCGTGTACCTAACATGGAACGTATTGCTGAACAAATAGCAACTGTATGTGCAACACTTGGAGAGTATCCATCTGTTCGCTATAGAAGTGACTTTGAACGCAATGCTGAGTTAGCACAGATTGTCCAACAGAAATTAGATGCATACAAAGCAGATGAGCCAACTATGGGTGAAGGTCCTGAAAAAGCTCGATCACAATTAATTATTTTGGATAGAGGTTTTGATTGTGTGTCTCCAGTCTTGCATGAACTTACTTTTCAAGCTATGGCCTATGACCTTTTACCAATTGAAAATGATGTTTATAAGTAAATTAATTTATATCTAATAAAAGATTGCATATTTCAATGATTGAATTTTTATAGATATGAGGCTACTGCTGGTGCACCTCTCAAGGAAGTTTTGTTGGATGAAAATGATGAGCTTTGGGTTGAACTAAGACATCAGCATATTGCAGTTGTTTCAACGTATGTTTTTAGTATTTAACCTTTTTAGCTATAATAATATTAACACTTTACATCTTTCATTTAGAAATGTAACAAAAAATTTGAAAAAATTCATTGATTCAAAGAGAATGTCAGCTGGTGAAAGTAAAACTTCCATGCGAGATTTATCTACTATGATTAAAAAAATGCCACAGTACCAAAAAGAGCTCAGCAAATATTCTACTCACTTGCATTTAGCTGAGGATTGTATGAAATGTTATCAAGATAATGTTGATAGACTGTGCAAAGTGGAACAAGATTTAGCTATGGGTACAGATGCTGAAGGTGAAAAAATAAAAGATCACATGCGGTGCATTGTACCCATATTATTAGATCCAAATACATCCAGCAATGACAAAATGAGAATCATAATATTGTATGTCTTATCAAAAAATGGTATTTCTGAAGAAAATCTAAATAAACTTATACAACATGCCCAATTATTACCTGCCGACAAACAAGCCATTGTTAATTTAAATTTACTTGGAATCAATACAATTGTTGATGTAAGTATTGCTAATAATCATAATTTATGAATAGTGTAGTATCAATTAACAAAAAAGTCTTATTAGATTATATTAAAATATTGGAACTTCATTACCAAATAACTACTAGTTTTACTAAAATAAATATAATTATGAAGTTAAATAACTTTTTTAAGCACTAACTAGTCAGTAAATTTACTCTATCACTTGTTTTTAATTACTTGATATAATAATACAAAAGGAATATAAATCTATAAAATATAATGCATAAAAATAATTATTTTTTACATCACCTGTTTTCAAATAATGAAATAATAAACTTTATTTTTATGATTATGACTACTTTTATAATACCGTAAAATATTTTTATCAAGTGCAGATAAAAATATCTTAAAAACCAAAATATTTTCTTTAGGAATTTCTTAAAAAGTATTATTTAATCAAAAATATTCACTCTTCGTAAAATAATAATTTATAAAATTAGTTCTTATACGTTTTAGAGTAATGATGATAAACATCGGAAATTATCAAAGGTAACAGGAAATTTATTAATATTTTATTATTAATAATCTAAAAATCTGAATTTCAAATAGTTTCAATTTCATATAAATTTTATTTTTTAATTATACATTTGTAATCTTTTATACTTGGTATTTAAATATTAATTGAAAATATAAAAATATATATGTTAATGTATTACTTTAGGGTAATAGAAAGAAGCAATACCAAATACCTCGTAAAGAGCGTATCACTGAACAAACATACCAGATGTCACGTTGGACGCCAGTGATTAAAGATTTAATGGAAGATTGTATTGATGACAAATTGGATTCTAAACATTTTCCTTTCCTAGCTGGTAGAGCTGCAACATCTGGATATCATGCTCCTACTAGGTAAGTATATTTTGATAATCATATTTTATTTTACATAAAATTAAAATATAATTTTTATTTATCTTATTAGTGCAAGATATGGTCATTGGCATAAAGATAAAGGTCAACAGTTAATAAAAAATGTACCTAGACTGATTGTATTTGTAATTGGTGGCGTCAGTTTTTCTGAAATAAGGTGTGCGTATGAAGTTACCAGTCAGGTTAAAAATTGGGAAGTTATTATAGGTATTGAGTTAAAATAATTAGTATCAGTTTCATCTTTAACATATTAATTTTTGTTATTTTTAAAGGCTCTTCACATATACTTACGCCGGAAGACTTTCTCAACAATCTTTCTGCCTTAAGTCAATAAGTTATCAACTACTTCCATACATCACATATTGTTATATTATTTCAAAATTATTTCTTGATATAGCCTTATGAATCGAGATTTTTGTTTTATTAATAAATATAAGGTAAAACTTAACTTTTATAATTAGTAAAAAAAAGAAAAAACCTGAAAAAATATTTAGTTATAGTTTTGCATTGACCTTCCTATTCTTCACATTATAAAAATTAATAATTTCATTCACTATGAACTAACTTCTTAATTCAATTATTATTATGATCTATTATCACTATATATTTTTAATAATTTTTATTAGTTTTTTGTTTGTTATTTTTTTTATTGCATATTTTATTCAATTATTTATTAGATTAATTATTTAAATAACTTTTATTATTAAAATATTTTACATTTTATAATTTTAAAATATTTTAGTATATATGAGTGCTATATGATAAGTTGTTTAACGGACATACCGCATTTATTTCTAATTTATAAAATTTGAAAGAATCTATTTGATTTATGTGAAAAAACAGAAAATGTTATTACACTATTTAATTAATATTTATGTCAAACTCATTAAATCATTTTAATAAAACCTGTTGTTTAAATATATGTAACATATTGTCTAAAATATATCCATATTTTTAGTGTTCTATAATTTTAGCACTGTTCGAGCTTTATAATTCAGTATTTAATTACACATAACTGCCTAATTTAACTTTTAAATGTAAAATTGTAGCCAACTAGATTGTTTTCTATTATTTGGACAGACAGTTAAAAAATTGTGTATAGTATTAGTTTGGTACACTTATGTACTGTAGTCTTTAAAGAAATTGTTGAAAATTTACAAGTTTATGTTTAAAATTCTCGGGTAACAAATTAAGAATTGTGTATAGATGAAATGAACTGAATTGTTGTTTGACGATTATCTATATTAGTATTAAAAATAATATTTAATCATTTGTACATTAAATCAAATTTTAATAAGCAATATTATTTGCTATAATTGACAGTTCTTTTAACCACTTATAAATAACTTAAAATAAAAATGTTATATTTTAAATGAATATCCAGTTTCATCATAATTTTTTTAAATAGTTTATTTATAGATTTTCTCAAGTATTTCATATTAACAAAATTTATAGCTTTTATTAATACAAATAAAAGTAATTAAATTTACTTGTGATATTAACTAGTTTTTGAATTATTATTATTATTATTATTATTATTGTATTAATATAAGTATAGATGTTAAATTTGTTGATTTGATACAAAATCAAAGTGCCCATGTACTTAGTATTATTATGTCATAAACTTATCATTTTGCTTAAATTGCAATCTAATTTTTTAAGTTTTAGCAGATTCTTAATTTAAAATTTCCAACATGTGTTGTAAAATATAATTCTGAAATAATTAAATGGCATGCATTATTATATTAAATTGTTAAAAAATATATACTTTAGCATTGAAATGAGTTTTGGATTATTTGATAACTTCAGACGTGTTTAAAAATGATTATATCAACTTGAATATTCTTTAAATAATGTTATTTTAGTTATTTATATGTGTATGGTTTACATTAATAAGTTATATAAATGCGAATTAGAGTCCGTTGTCTATAGAATATATGGCTCAGATGTGATTAGTTAATTTGCGTAATTTTTATGGCAATAAATATGATAATTCTGCTTGTCATAACTAGTGATTTAATTAACAAAAAGTATAACTGAAATAACTTTTGTTAAAAGTAATTTTTAAAAATATTTTTTTTTAATTCTCTGGATAACTATTTATCTTTCTAAATCATTTAAAACATTCTTGTGCTATTATCTTCTTAACTATAGCTTGAAATTATTTATATGAAGTACAATTATCAATATACAAGAAATTTTTGTAAATTGTATAAGTGTATACATTAAGGTCGTAATGGTAAATAAGCCTTTAAAGATTTTTAACAGTTTCTGTACATTTCGAATTGATCTTTAATATGTAAGGTACTATACAAATGTTTTTAAATTATTCAGAAATAATGTGAACATATAATATGCAATAATATTTTTAACTGGTGTTTTATTCCATAGGGATAATTATCATTATGATATTTGGATGGAATTCGTGTAAAGAATTCAAGATATTTTCTGGATAACTTTGTAAGAAATTTCCTACCAGAAACAATAACAATATCATGTCCATGAAACCATTTGTTATCTAGTTGTTATGAATTGAAATTAGATATAAAACATGCGTTCTGATGTATGACATATAAAAAATTTTATCCTTTAATAAGTAACTATTTAAGACTTCTCTCCCTTTACATAAACTTCATTCAATTATATCACGGTAAATCAAATCCTACAGGGGTAGGAATGATATTCACATTGATGTAATTCGGGGATTTAGCTCTTCAAAAATTTTAGAAAATAAAATTTTTAATCTATAAAAAAAACATTTAAGAGTGGAGAAAAAAACAATTTCCCTATTTTTTTTTTTTTACATTTATGCCTATGGATTTCCATTTTAATTAAAAGAAGTAAAAATGTTCAAACTAACTTAAGAAAATATCAAAAGTAATTTTTTTTTATTGTGATAAATATATGCATTTTATGAGATAATGATTTTTTTGTTAAACCTTAAAAATAATTTTTGAATGACACTAATACATCAAAGATGTAAGTTATAAAGGTTCTAAATCTATTTACTTAAACATGTACTAATTTTGATAGAATGTTTAAAATTAACCCACTTATCTTTTGAGTCTAAAACGAAATTATTCTGTAGTTTGCATAGGCGTAAATCGGGGGGCTTATCTCATTTCAAAAGTTGTTGTAGCCGTTCTAAAATTTTAATAAATCATATGTATTTTTATACAAAAAAATTTAAGAAATGGAGTAATAAAGTTAATCTCAGACAAATTTTTTCATAAATCTACGCCAATTTACGTCAATAATTGTTAATTAACAGTGCATCATAATTATCCATATATTATCATTACCTATTAGCATTTTAATTTTAACATTATTTTGAAAAATTCATTATTAACAAACCCAAAATTACCTCTGATTTATGGTCTTTGAATATTAAATATTGTCCATCATAAAAGAAATAAAAGGATATAACAAACTAAACACAAGAAAAACAATATTTTTTTTTATATTATCAATAAACAATAATAATAATATTTCGTTACATTTTTTGGTGGTTTCGTATGTACATGGTTTACGATGTCGACTGTATGATGTCATCAAACGCCTGTAATATATCAAAAGAAAAATATTTACATTAAAACAACAAATAAACTAACGCTTAAATGCAATAGGAATTGGTGACATTTTTTTAATTTCGAAAAAATTAAATTAAAAATTTGTTTACCATATAATACTGTATAAAAATAAAAATAAAAATGTACAAAAATAAATGTTTTTTTTAAAATCATTTCGCCTTATTTTTTGTTTTTTTTTTTTACTAAATAGAACTAGTCGATTTCATAAAAATAATAAAAGGGTATACGTCTATTAAAGCTTTGCAGAAGCTTATTTTGTTTGAAAATATATGAAAGTATAAAGCGTACGTATGCATATTTGTAGTAATTTTAAAAGGTATACGTTAATTATCAGAATTTAATATGGTATTACGATGTATATACCTCAAAACACTAGAGCTACTATTTTTTAACTCGATTGAATAGCTTAACTTTAGCTTAAATGGGAAGCTGAAAAAATATTAGTATTGTGATGTTTTGTTTTTGTCCGTCAATAAAAATCCTCAGCTCTCACTAGACCGATATTAATGATTAATATATCAAAATAACTGATTTTAATCTAATTGAACTTATTGTTGCCTAAAATGAAAAAAAACTTAATTTTAGAAATTAAAAAAAATCTCAAAATTAAAAAGCATTTTCAAAAAAAATTGTCAAAAATTTAAAACTGCTATAACTTTTTTTACAAAATCCTTATTCATATTAAAAATAATAATCTAATAGGGTATACTAGAGAAAAAGAGCTTCATTTTGGTATGTTTTTTTGTGGAAATTCATGAAGGATTTGAAAGTGATCTATATGTAAAGCACGTAAAAAAAGGTTTTCAACTCAATTTTTGAAAATGTACCGGTACGACCTTGTTCTATAAACTTATTATATTACCTATATTAAATTAAAGATTTTGAAATTAATTACAACATAAAATAAAATTTGTTCCAACAATTTTTTTACTATGAAAAATCGGTTGTCATTGTAAGAAAATCGAAAAAAAATACTTATTTTTCAATTAAATAATTTAACAATCATTTAATATTTGAGTTCAATTTTAAAAACATAGAAATTGTAACACTTAAAGTATATAAAATTTTTGTGAAATTTAACAGATTCGCATCGAAGCATTTATTTTGATAGTAATGTTAATCACTGTCAGATATCACATACACTACTCACACTATGCCGCACCGCCACTGATTGGTTTTTTATTAAACCACGTATACATCTAGCATTCTAAGCGCCTAAAATATAATTTTCATATTTTATTATAAATTATCCATAAATTAAACAAATTTTTTATAAAAATTGATCACTTCTGGCTAATATTTAAAATAAAAAAATATTTTACATGTATTTTTTAATTTATATAAATATTGTATAACTCATAAAACTAGACTTTAAAACAAACTTTATTCATTATATAAATATCAACATTATCAATTGATAGGATCTTATAGCATATGCCTATGATGTACACAAAAAATTAATTAACGTTAACAAGTTCACGTGAAAAAGCCAAAAATAATACTTTAAATAATGCTTTCATAGTCGTTTAGTTAGTATACAGAATAAATCCAGTGCTTTTAAATCGTTTGGCTATAACATCAACTGCCTATGACGGTGAAAGACTACTTAAGCCATACCTTTACACAACACATACAATAATGCCTATGAATGTCCACCATCTCATTGTTTGTAATAATTATTTTTGAGGGTTCTTGTTGCATATCGTTTAACTATACATACAAAATGTTAATGATACAGCAAAGTGTTTAGTGTTTTTTAGAAAATATGTGCATGTAATAGACCCTTTTAATATTTTATGTGGAGTACAGCTTTGTCCATAACATGAGCTCGGTACATCATTATTATTGCAGTTGACATTTTTATCGTGAGATTAAATAAGAAAAAAGTAGAGCTCGTTAACCATCTAAAATAAATGGGTCAAGTGCAAAAACACATTTTTAAATATTTATAGCGCCTCTCTTCAAACTCAGCATATCTATTTGTTTGTCTTTCGGCCAATTGCCCAAACTAATTTTACTAGTTACAAATAATTACACGAACTCATAAAACTTCACTAATATTTTAAAATTTCTTTAAATCTTTTAATATTCAGAGTCACCGTTGTCAATCAAATGGATGTAAAACGTTGAAAATAGCATATCTTCCAAATTTTCATATAAGTATTACAAATATTTATGTACACTAGTGCCTTTAATTCTAATGTTTTGAATTCTCTGCACCTTTAACTTATCACTTATATAGAAATGATAAGTTGAACATTTTGACATAGCAAAAAATTAATCTTAGTTTAAAAGTATATATACTTTTAAACTAAGATTAATTACTAAGTCTACCTCATATATGAGGTATACTTAGTAGACGGATGATAATTTAACTCGCGTTTATAGTCTATGAAATTTATTTTATGCTTGATAATTTTTTAAGAACTATTTAAAAAAATTTATTTATGTGCACAATTAATCAGATTTATAAGAAACTATTCTATCGACAATTGTCTTATAATCGATGTGTACCTAATGGATTGTGTTATGACCCACACTGTTTAAATAATATAAATTCGAAGAAACTTATGTTCAAATGAATGCCTATCATAAAAATAAGAACCAATATTTTCTAAATAAAATATCCACGTTAAAAAGTGCAAAAGAATTTGAAATAAAATGCAATTTTTATCTAAGTACCAAGTTTAGAGGGAAAATGTTAATTATTAAAATTACTGATAGTAGTTAACTATAAATGTAATTACTTATGGAACTAAAGATAGTTTTTGTACAACATATCGAAATAATTAATGAAAAGTAGACTAGTATAGCAATTAAATAGTCTGAAATTGATGGTGTAAAGTTTGAATAATAAACAATTGCCAAAATCAAAAGAAAAAACCAACGGAAGTATGAAAAAATGTAAAATAAAATAAAATTAATGAGAGTGTAACGAATTTAGTAAAAAAAATTACTTTGGTAAGTGCGACAGCCAGACTATGCTTTTTAAAATGATTCGATGAACTGTGAAACGTTAAGAAAGTCAATATTGTAATGAATGCTGTAAAAGAAGCAATACATAAAGTTGATGAAAGTTTAAGCTTACATAACTATTTACATCAATAAATTTTGTGATGTAAACCTAATAATTTCATTTTTTAACTAAAATATATTTTTAATGCTTTTTTTTAAACATTTTTAAAACAAAATTTGTTTTGATTGAATGATCACATACACTACACATCTATTTATTCTTCACTACTTATAGGACCATTTAATACATGAATTTTGGCGCCTCCAATTTTTTTCAGAACCGCTTTTTAAATATTATTGATGAGCAAAAAATAAAATACATAAAATAATTGAAAAATAAAATATTTAACTCATAAATTAGTCTTCTCATGTTAAAGTAATATTTTTAACTAATAATCATCTAAAAAAAAAAAACGGTGGCACAGTAGTGTTGGAACGTTGTACCTAAAGCGCGTTAAACACAAGTGTTACCAACTCGGCAACGATACGTCGCTTCTGTCAATTGAATAAAATATACAATTTGAGCTAGTTCAAATTTCAAAGTTATTTTTTTCGACTTAAAAAAAAAAAAAAACAAAAAAATTTAAATATATTGAACTTTCTAGCTATATCAATTTGATTTATAAAATATTTATAAAAATCAGTGTACTCCCCTTGTCAGATATTTTTAATTAAAATAAAATACAAAACCCAGAATTTAAACACAAAAATAGCATATTTTTTGAATACGGTAGTCATTTTCACCATAAAGACAAATCCAGAGGTCAATTTATTTTTTTTTAAATTAAAATATATTACATAAACTTTAATTTAAGATATACATAAAAGTGTCAGTATTTTTAGTTGGGAAAAATTTTAAAAAGTTAATTTTTTGTGAAAAAGTTGCCATTTTGAAACCCTCCCTGTGGGCTGGTAAAGGGTCAAATGTTCACAAAAAAATATCAAATGATAGTTAAATACTTAAAGTATCTATAAAAAAAAAATATATTGATTTGGTTATTTTTAAAAATATTATGGCAGTTTTAAGAAAAAAAATTGAAAAAATGTCAAAAATTACCGATTTTTAAAATTGTAATTTTTTGGAAATTTTCCCCGTTTACGGGGAACGAGGGAATTTTTTTCAATTTTTGAGGGTAATGTCTTCGACTAGATACAATTTGTGATCTTTTGACGTATTGTTTATCAAAATCGGTCCAGCAAGAGCTGAGATTGAACGTTCACAGACACACAAAACAAATAATAATAATAAAAAACACATCAAAAGTAAAATTAATACCTTCACAGCTTCGTATCGAAGCTAAAAATTTAATGGAAAATCATTTAGCATAATATTTAGTTAAGTGATCGACATAAATGTACGAAATTACATAGGAGGTTTCTCTTGTTTATTAGCTAACAATGAAGTTACAAATTAATAATACTTTGACGAGCTTGTTATGTAAATTTTGATTACCTATACGAGCAATAATATTAATTTGACATTCTAAGATATACCTTAGCAATGCACGCTTTTAGACAATAATATTAACTTGTGAAATATTACCATCCAATCGAAGTTATATTACTCGTAATATTCATACGAAGTGTTTATGTGCATGAATCGCATAAAAAACCAACAAAGATATAATATTTAATTAATCATTATTTTATGAATGAAATGGGCACATTTTGAAAAGTTTGTCTGCGGAAGCTAATTTTACATACTTTATTTCATAAGTCTGATTAATGACTCGATTGATCTTCTTTGTGGTATTGCTTTGCTTTCCCCTAATCTCCAAAATAACATATTCCATTTGTGGGGGTTCAAATATGTCTGTGATGGTATGAACCCCTACAGCCAAAATGTTAGCTACCCTAGTTATATAGGAAAGTAGCTCCTTTCGTTTCTCATATAATAGACAACAGAAACCAAAACTGAAACTGTACCATAGCAAATCGGTTGTGGTACGGTTAC